GCAAAATTTTCCATAAGAAAATATTTGTGCTGATAAAATATAGAAACTGACGTTTTCTTGTTCATAGTGATATCTCAATTTGTTCGGAAGTTAAACAGGGGGGGGTTACTTTACGCTAGCACTGTATATAGTTTTTGATATGTAAATTTTTGTTATTTTTAATAATTCTGAAGGTTAACAAATTTTCAATGCTTGTGTTTAAAAAATTAAATATAATCGATATTTTTGAAAACAGACTGGGAAATTACTGTCATAAATGTGGATTTTAATTACACTACATTAATTTTGTGTTCATAAATTTGCAAGTTTGTAGTAACCACATAATTTGGTGCTTTACAATGTAAGCATTCTGCCATAATTAAATCAATTAACTAAAATTAAATACCAAAGTTCCTTCCAATATAAACGGTAACTATTCACGCATCTTACTTACAATTAGATACAAGTTTCTTTACAATCATTTTATGCTCGACTTTGAGTTTAATCTGAACTAAATTTGTTCATTTAATAATACTATTTACAGCATCGTTTCTATTTTTACTAATTAATTTTCTACAATTAATTTTAACCGGAAATACTTATCAACTTGGTAATGACACTTACCATGATCTATTAACCAATAGAAATTTAAACACTGTAAGTTTGTTTTTATTTAATAATTAATTATGACTTTTATTTAACATTAATATTATTTTAGATTGAGTAGCGAATTAATATGGATATCCAATAGAGCGTCATCAAGTTATGACAGAAGATGGATATATCATTGAAATCCACCGAGTTCCATATGGTCTTAATAACAAAAATAACTCAACTAGACCATCAATTCTTATTGGACACGGAAGTGGTGGAAGTTCCGTTGAATTCTTATTGATGGGGAAAAGAAGTATAACTTTTGAGGCTGGATATGATATTTGGATAGGTAACGCGATGTTGATTCGATTAATTTCAGAGATTACTTCCGGCCGCGATGGGTAATATTCCAGCAGGACTTTCTTTTAGACAATTAGCACATTGTTAGGGCGATTTCAGAAATACGATTATGGCCCAGATGGTAATCTTAAACGATATGGTTCGATAAAACCACCTTTATACAATATAAGCAAGCTGACTACTCCTGTTGCGATATTTTATGGAAAAACGGATTCTTTTTCATCTCAAGAGGTTTTTACAAAACTAATTTATACTAAATATAAATTAATTAATTAATTTTTATTCTAGGATAATGAAGAGTTATGCAAAGCTCTCCCAAATGTAAAGTTGTAAAAAAAAATTTCCATCAATCATTCAGAAAATTAAGCTTTCCAATTTAATAATATCAATTACGTGGAATTAAGTTTCTTCGATATAAACGATTTGAATTGATACAATCTTTTATTTACATCCAACTTTTCCGATCGTAACAATGTTATTCCTAAACATTTTCCTGATTTTATTTACAGCTAAATCCACAAATGGATTAGATAACGAAACCGTGAAAGATATTTCAGGAAATAGCGGCTTAACACCAGTGAGTAATCTCATTTACTTAACCATTAATTCAATTCTCTTTTTTAAATAAGTTTCAATTAGCGAAAAAATACAATTATCCAATAGAACGTCATAGGATAACCACCGAAGATGGTTACATAATCGAAATGCATCGAATTCCGTACGGAATTAATAGCACGAATCGTTTAAACCGACCCGCTGTTGTAATTGCTCACGGCGCAGGTGGAAGTTCAGTTGAATTTTTTATGATGGGCCATCGAAGTTTAGCTTTTGCTTTAGTAGAGGCTGGTTATGATGTTTGGGTGGGTAACGCGAGAGGAACTCGATGGTCGCGAAGACATCAAAATTTAAGTAATCGTTCGAGACAATTTTGGATGTTCACCTGGGAAGAAATCGGCGTTTACGATTATTCGGCCGAAATCAATTATATTATCGAAGTTACGGGGCAGAAAAAAGTTTTTTTTATTGGACATTCTCAAGGAGGATCTGCTTTCATAGCTATGAATACGGAAAAACCTGAAATGAACGATAAAATTCGATTGGGCGTTTTAATTGGACCCGCTGTGGTTACTAAATTTAACAGGAACGCATTAATTTTGGTTATTTCAGAGAATATTGAAGCTATAAGGGTATCAAATTAAATTATAAATTATTACTAATTAATTTAATTTAATACGTTTTTTTAGGGGCTTCTTGATTATTTGCATATTTATGAAATACCGAGTGGTGCTACGCTTAGAAGTTTTTTAAGAACTTTATGCAGAAGTATTTTCGCTTTTATTTGTCAAGGATCTCTTAATTTAATAATGGGATATGATTCAATCCAAATCGATAGGGTAAGAAATATCGTTAAACGTATTTTTTATAAGCCGAAAAAAATCTTCAAATTTTCTTTTCAATAAAATTTCTTTGACAATATCCAGAAACAGCAACAATGATATTAATGAGTTGGGGACTTCTGGCAATAGAACAAAATCCATTGTTATCCGAGTCCCAAAAATATATCACAATGTGAATATCATAAATAAATTAATAAGGGAAAACGATAGCTCGCGAACTCCTCGCAGTTTAGACGCTTCCAGATCAAAGACATAATTCAGTTTACTCCAAAAATCTGCGTACTTCACCCATCAAGTCTAAGTATGTGATACTTGGGTTGGGAAGGAATCTCGGCCGACTTCGAAGACGTCGGCCGCCTCAAGTACCACGAGCAATACCTATGGACATCTTCAAAGTCAGCCGAAAATATTTCCCAACCCAGGCATCACGAATAATACTTATGGCGGTCGACGACTTCGAAGTCAGCCGAGATTCTTTCCCAACCCAAGTATCACGAAAATTATATTTATGGCCGCCAGCATCTTCGAAGTCGACTGAGATTATATTTTATATCAACATTATTTTTATGTCGGTGGATCTCTATGGCTTCTCTTGTCAGTCTTTGGTAGTATCTGTTGTCCCTAGCCAGCATCTTTGTTTGTTCGAAGTCTATTCGGTGCCCCTCTGCATGACAATGTTCCGCAACCGCCGACTGCTGGATCTTCTTCAGCCTTACATCCCTCTCGACGTTGCGTCCAGTTTGGCCAACATAAACCTTCCCACAACTACACGATAGTCGATAGACTCCTGCTCCTTTTAATGGAATTAGTTTGTCCTTGGCTATCGGGAGTGTGTTCCGAATTTTGCTGACCGTGCCGTACCGCACTACGATGTCGTTCTTCTTGAGGTGCCTAGCAATTCGTTCCGTTACACCCGAAACATAGGGAAGACAGATAAATCCAAGTGGTTTTACACTTACCGTGTCCTCTTTCTGCTTTCGCTGCTTGATGGCCTGGTTGATGTCCCTAGAAGTGTATCCATTCTTCTGCAGCACGCCTCGTAGAAAGTGTTGCTCCTTCTTCAAGTTCTCTCCTTCTTCAAGTTCTCTCCTTCACATAGTCTCGCTGCTCGCTGAAATAATGTACGGATCAGAATATTATTGTTCAGAATATTGTTCGTGATATACCCCACTTCGAAGACGTTGGCAGCCACAAATATTGTTCATGATACTTGGGTTGGGAAAGAATCTCGGCCGACTTCGAAGACGTCGGCCGCCGCAAGTACAACGAGCAATACTTATGATCTTCGAAGTCGGCCGAGATTCTTTCCCAACTTAAGTATCACGAACAATATTTATGGCGGCCGGTATCTTAGAGATTATTTTTGATATCAACAGAATATTATTGTTCAGAGTACGATTTCGAAGACGTCGACCGCCCCAAGTACCACGAGCAATAGTTATGGACATCTTCAAAGTCGGCCGAGATTATTGCTCAACCCAAGTATCACGAATAATACTTATGGGGGTCGACGTATTCGAAGTCAGCCGAGATTCTTTCCCAACCCAAGTATCACGAACAATAGTTATAGCGGCCGGCATCTTCGATATTATTTTTGATATCAACAGAATATTATTGTTCAGAGTACGACTTCGAAAACGTCGGCCGCCCCAAGTACTACGAACAATACTTATGGACATCTTCAAAGTCGGCTGAGATTATTTCCCAACCCAAGTATCACGAACAATATTTATGGCGGCCGACGAGATTATTCGGCTGAGATTATTTCTTATATCAACAGAATATTGTTGTTCAGAGTATTGTTACGGTATCCTATTCTGGAGAGCTTATTCGGCAGCCGAAAGAGCATTTACACTTCAGAAACGAGCGATAAGAGCACTGTTCAACCTGGGAAGCAGAGAAAGTTGTAGAAGTTATTTTGCTCAGTATAAAATACTTACCTTACCTTCATTATATATATTCAACTGTATAAAGAATGTTCACCAGAAATTATACCTTCTGCCAAAAAAACTGTGATTCACATAACTATCACACTACAAACAAAAAGGAACTGCGTAAACAATGCCAACTATTGGGGCATTAAATTCTTTAACCATCTACCTGCGTCGGTACGAGATCTACCCTTTGCAAGAATGAAGAATGCTGTAAAGAACCACCTTTGCCAAAATACGTTCTATACCATTCAAGCATTTTTTCGAAGGCATCTTCGAAGTCGGCTGAGATTATTTCTTATATTAACAGAATATTATTGTTCTGAGTATTGTTCGTGATATTTGAGGCGACCCACTTCGAAGAAGTTGTCTGCCATAAATATTGTTCGTGATACTTGGATGTCTTCGATTTATGGCTGCCGACGTCTTAGAAGTCAGCCGAGATTCTTTCCCAACCCAAGTATCACGAACAATATTTATGGCGGCCGACGAGATTATTCGGCTGAGATTATTTCTTATATCAACAGAATATTGTTGTTCAGAGTATTGTTACGGTATCCTATTCTGGAGAGCTTATTCGGCAGCCGAAAGAGCATTTACACTTCAGAAACGAGCGATAAGAGCACTGTTCAACCTGGGAAGCAGAGAAAGTTGTAGAAGTTATTTTGCTCAGTATAAAATACTTACCTTACCTTCATTATATATATTCAACTGTATAAAGAATGTTCACCAGAAATTATACCTTCTGCCAAAAAAACTGTGATTCACATAACTATCACACTACAAACAAAAAGGAACTGCGTAAACAATGCCAACTATTGGGGCATTAAATTCTTTAACCATCTACCTGCGTCGGTACGAGATCTACCCTTTGCAAGAATGAAGAATGCTGTAAAGAACCACCTTTGCCAAAATACGTTCTATACCATTCAAGCATTTTTTCGAAGGCATCTTCGAAGTCGGCTGAGATTATTTCTTATATTAACAGAATATTATTGTTCTGAGTATTGTTCGTGATATTTGAGGCGACCCACTTCGAAGAAGTTGTCTGCCATAAATATTGTTCGTGATACTTGGGTTGGGAAAGAATCTCGTCCGACTTCGAAGACATCCAAGTATCACGAGCAATATTTATGGCGGCCGACGTCTTAGAAGTCAGCCGAGATTCTTTCCCAACCCAAGTATCACAAATAATACTTATTATAACTTATAATAATACTTATAAACTTTTAGAAACTTATACGAATAATACTTATAACTATTGGCATCAGGTTTTTGGCAGAAAATCCAAAAAATACATTTCTGCCAACCTCCGATACAACAATAGAAGGTATGCAGACTCGATAGCTATGATACCTGAAAAGACCTTTAGATGATGGATTATGACAAAGACTGTTTAAGTAGTATCAAGAACAAAAAACATAAATATGGGTTATAGCTGTATGTTCAGATCACGACGGACTAAATCGATGAAGCAAAGAACATGCTTAGAAAATTAACTGTACTCACTGACACTTGACAAAGAAAGACTTGGAGGGAATAATGGAAGTTAATTGGAAGTCATGATCCAATAGGATGCGGAGAAGACAAAGCCATGAGTGGATCTTTGTCTTGAGTGACGAAGTACTTCAATGTGACAAACATTAAATCCATTAAAAAAATTATGGAAATGTTGGAAATTGCTAAGTCCTCTTGAATTAGTAATATTAATGGAAACAAATAATGAGACATAATGAAGTTGAAAGACCGAATAAAATGTATCTCGAGCAAGAATAATAACTTTAAAGGAACCATCTCGTTCTGCAAAACCAAGTGAATAGAAAGTTTTGATACGAATTCCATCCAAGAAAAGATGCATATCTGTACTTAGTCTATTGGAGCAAGAGAACTTGTCTACTTCTCATTCTTTCCATACTACCTATCTTCTCTCTCTGTAATCTGTTTTCAATATCCGCTGTGTATCGTGCAAATAAGCTAAGATTCTAAAAACATATCTAACCTTGTCATTCCCTTCGCATATCTCTCTATCAATTCCTGCTCTATGACTTTTCTATCAGCTTCCGCCTGTTCATTGTGTCAAACACTACCTTTCAATCAATTAAAAAGCTTAAAACAGTTTTGCCCTTTGAGTCTGGTGTTTCATAAAACTGGGAAGGCGAAGTTATCGCTCATCTACAACCTTGTAGACTTAGTTGCTATTGCCTTCCAGTATGGTCAGCATAATTTTACAAAATCGGATACTTTCCTGACGCAGATCATGGCAGATACTTCTTCACCAAATCGCCACAAGTTGTAAACACCACATCAAATCTTTCTGTCACTGGTTGACTTAGTATGATCAGTAATTAATCACAGTGCATCAATATTCCAGAAAATATCTGAAATCATAGCACATAAATTAAAGGTTGATACACTTCGATTCTGGATTAGAAGAAAAACTCTAGAATTACATTAACTAGATTTTAGAATGCTGAAAATACCATGTTAATTTCCTAAAATTATCTTTTTTATAACTAAAATATTTTCATGTTTAATTATAATTTTAATTTTTAGAGAATTTACAACGTAGCAGTAAGTAATTTACCAGGAGGGTTATCATTCCGTCAATTATTACATTATGCCCAATTATATAATTCAAGTAAACGACCAAATCATTTTTAAAAGAAACATTTTAACCTGCCAAATAAATTTTATTTAGAGCGATTTCAAAAATTTGATTACGGCCCCGAAGAAAATATACAACGTTACGGTACTTTACAACCACCTGAGTACAATATTAGTAAAGTTACAGCTCCCATTGCTGTAATGTACAGCGAATATGATACATTTGCTGATGTTAAAGTAAAAATTTTTTTTATGTCTTCATAAACATTTCTTTAAATTTTTTTTTGTAGGGAGTTCAAGAATTTATAAAATTACTTCCAAATTGTGTTTTCGATTACAAAATTGATAGAGATATGTGGAATCATGTTGCGTTTCTTGCAGCCGATGATGCTGATGTATTAGTGAACGATAAAATTATCGAGATGTTTAGCCAATATTAAAAAAATTAAACAATCTTTTATTGCAACAGAATTGGGGCATCTTCTTATCAAATAAACATTTTAATCTCCCAATAAATCTTTAGAAATTATGAAATAATTGTTTATATTCTTTTAGGCCAAGGTTATATTATTATATTAATAACTGTATTTGATCAAAATATCGATTTAAAACCATCTTTTTTTTCAATTTCTTTGTTTGTTTTCGATGATTCATTTACCAAAACGATAAGAACTGACCAATAAGTATTTAGAAAATTGCGACTATCTCATCAAGTGTCCCACTACAATAAAGCTACAAAAAGCAACATAAACCGATTTTCGAATCATTTCTTTCCTTAAACTTAGAGGAAACATGACTACTATAAAAGTTTTAATATTAACTTGTTTGATTCTTAACGTATATGGGGGAATCTTACCGGAAAGTTGGTCTCGTGCTTTAAAACTAGATAGAAAAGTTCCTGTTGATGCTTTATTAAGCGTGGTTAGTATTTTTTAAATTACTTTTTTATAGATTTAAATTTTAATAATTTTTAAAGCCGGAATTAATTGAAAAAGCTGGATATCCTTGCGAAATTCATGATGTGGTTACTCAAGATGGATATATTCTTAGTTTACATCGAATGGCTCATGGAAAATATGAAACAAATGATAAAAATATAAAAAAACCTGTTGTTTTTATGCAACATGGAATATTAGCATCTTCCGGTGATTGGGTTTTAATGGGTCCAAATAAAGCGTTAGGTAATTTTTTATATCAAATTAATTTTACTTTATAAATAAATTTTATCTACGACTGCTTGGATAAATCATCATTACCACACTCATTTGAGGTGATTCGAGTTACGTAATGAAGTTCATTACCGCACTGGTTTCATTACGTAACGGATTTTTAGCCCAATCAGAATAGACTTAATTTATTAAACATATTATTGAAACTTTTCAAAGAAATTGATTTTTAAGTAATTTTTAGCAGTCGTAGATAAAATGCTGTATATCACACGTGGGCTAGAGCATAATTACAGTACTCGTGTGATTACACATACAGTAATTATGTTTCTAGCCCACTTGTAATATAAATAACTATTATCTACGACTGCTTGGATAAGTCATCATTACCGCACTCATTTGAGGTGATTTGAGTTACGTAATGAAGTTCATTACCGCACTGGTTTCATTACGTAACGCATTTTTAGCCTAATCAGAACAGACTTAATTTATTGAAACGAGCAACAATACAAAAGAAAAAGTGCTATCTACTTACAGAGAAACAATACTATTTATTATAAACATTAATTGTTATGTTTTTACATTTCAAAACACTTATTCCAGATGAGTAAACATGTTGTTGAAACTGACAATTCAAAATTGTCAACAATCATTTCAAAATATTTTTATAAATGTCAAATAGACTTTTCTAAAGAAATTGATTTTTTAGTAATTTTTAGCAGTCGTAGATAAAATGCTGTATATCACACGTGGGCTAGAGCATAATTACAGTACTCGTGTGATTACACATACAGTAACTATGTTTCTAGCGCACTTGTAATATAAATAACTATTATCTACGACTGTTTGGATAAGTCATCATTACCACACTCATTTGAGGTGATTCGAGTTACGTAATGAAGTTCATTACCGCACTGGTTTCATTACGTAACGCATTTTTAGCCTAATCAGAATAAACTTAATTTATTAAACATATTATTAAAACTTTTCAAAGAAATTGATTTTTAAGTAATTTTTAGCAGTCGTAGATAAAATGTTGTATATCACACGTGGGCTAGAGCATAATTACAGTACTCATCGTGCAATTCTCCACACTCGTACAGTAATTTAGTTTCTACCCCACTTGTAATATAAATAACTATTTTTGTTGTATCTAGGTTACATATTAGTTGAGATGGGTTATGATGTTTGGATGGGAAACTCAAGAGGAAATCGTTATTCAAGAAATCACACCTATTTAGCAACCGATTCTCCTGAATTTTGGGATTTTTCTTGGCACGAACTCGGCGTTTATGATCTTCCGGCGATGATCGATTACGTTCTTGAAACGACCGGTCATGAAAAACTTCAATATGTCGGTCATTCGCAAGGAAATACGATTTTTTATGTTATGTGTTCTGAAAGACCTGAATATAATTCGAAAATTATATCACAATTTAGTATGGCACCGATTGCTTATGTGAGTCATATGAAAAGTCCTCTTCTTAAAACGTTGTCTTACGGAGCTTGGGGGCTCGGACAAATTTTTTCTTTGGTTGGTGTAAATGAGTTTTTACCAAATTCGGAATTTATGGCAAACGTTGGGATTACTATGTGTAAAGATGGCGATTTCACCCAACAAATATGTACAAATACAATTTTCGCTTTATGCGGTTTTAATAAAGCCCAAATGAATACAACAATGTTACCGGTGATATTAGGTCACACCCCAGCTGGTTCTTCAACGAAACAACTTTTACATTTTTCACAAGAAATTAAATCCGGTTATTTTAGACAATTTGATTATGGATTTATCGGAAATATTAAAAGATACCGATCGTGGAATCCTCCAAATTACAATTTAAAAAACGTTAAAGTTCCCGTTTACATTTTTCATAGCATGAACGATTGGTTATCATCGTACAAAGACGTCATGAAACTTTACAGCGAATTGGCTAATCCACAAGCTTACATTTTAGTTCCAGATCTTAAATTCAATCATTTAGATTTCATTTTTGGAATTGATGCGCCGTCGTATGTTTATAAAACACTTACTGCACTTTTATTGTCGAACTCATAATTGTTTATTAGATAAAGAAATTATCTAATGTGTTGTTAAAAATAGCCTTACTCAGCGAATGCGAATTCAGCGGATGATTAATATTTGACGTAGTGTGGTTATAAAGGTTAATGTTAAAAAAAATTGTTTAACTTATAAAGTTGATAAAGATACATTTATTTTTATTTTTCAAGAATTTACATTAAAAACAAAAACAAACTTTTTAATTCCGTGTTTAATTATTTATATCCTGATCTTTTAAAAATTTTATTTTAATTCACTCATTTCTAATTAGACCTAAACATCAAACTGTTTAAATTAGGAGATTTCTAAAGATATAAGATATCTATAAATACCTAATGTTAATTAAACATTCCGAAACTAAAATGTATAGAAGTCTAGATACTGCTTATAGAAAGCTATATGTTGTAACTAAGTTATGCTGGAAGATAGCAAAGTATTGAGTACTGAGAGTACACTGCTTTGGAAAATAAGATACTGCGACAATCTAAGTTTTGCTGGCAAAAACTACCAATACAAGACTAAAATGACTAATATCAGACAACAAATTGCTGCTAGAAGACTAAATACTGCTAACAGAAGATTAGATACTGCTCGCAGAAGATAACAGAAGAAGTTATTCCGAATGAAAAACTAGATTTTGCTACTAGCAAATAAGTTATTACTAAACGTAGACAAGATGCTGGCAAATAACTCGCAGATTAGATACTGCGAATAGAACACTAAGTACTGCTTCCAAGAGACTACCTGCTACCTGCTAAAGACAGAGTACTGCTTGATCAAGACTAGATACATCCGGTTGTAAATAGATACTGCTGGCTGAAGTCAACGTACTACCAATAGAAAACTAGATGATTGTTATAGGAGACCAAATACTGTTTTCAGAATGATTTGCTGACAGAACACTGCTTGCTACTTATAGAAGACTAAATACTGCTTGTAAAAAACTAGATATTTCAGGCAAATATTAGATACTGCTGGCAAAAGAGAAATTAGTGCCAATAAAATAGTAAATTCTCTTAAAAGAAGACTAGACACTGCGAATAGAACACTAGGTATTGCTTCCAAGTGACTACCTGCTAGATGCTAAAAACAGAATACTGCTGGCTCAAGACTGGATTCATCCGGCAGAAAATAAATACCGTTGGCAGAAGATAAAATACTACCAATAGAAGACTAGATGGTTGTTATACAAAAAAAGAAAGAATATAATAATAACACAGTAGGTATCTGCTCAATAGTAGGTCCAACAGAAAACCATATTAATGCATGGTTATGACAAACTATAACATTGTTACATAATATAATAAATAAAAGATAGGTACGTTCTTTATTCCGACATGGAGAGGTAATTTCGCTTCAATCTTTTAATAATTGCCCGGCGCAACAGATTTTTTGCAAATCGGTTTGGATGAATTTGCAGCTTTTGTAGGTACTTAGAACTTGGCAATTACTTCTTTTACAGTAAGCATATTGAGGTCTTGATGTAGCAACTTATTGTTCCTGTATAACAGTTCTGTTCTTGTTCCTTACATTTTCCTGTATAACAGTCCTAGTTGAAGCCGTTAGGTCGTGATGATCCAGGTAAATTCCCTGGTATTTGACTTCATTTTGAATAGGTAATGGAGCATTATTTAATGTAACATTTTTCCAGCATCAATAAGTGATAGTATAGATTTTGGGATACCATTTCAGAAGATGTATGAGTAGCCATAACTACAGTGTCGTCAAAATACTATTTTGAGTAACTCCAGCATGTATCGGTAGCAGCGGCGAATATGCGTTATTTTGCTTAACGAAAACGTATCTCTCCATCAGATATGATTCCAATAGTCTACATATTGGACAAGGTAGATAGGTTTTAAGTTTGGCTATAAGACCGTCATACCATACTTTATCGAAAGCCTCCTACACATCTAAAAAAGCTGCTGTACAATATTTTTTGGCCTCTAGGGCATCTCTAGCTGATTTCACTACTCTGTGCTCTTGTTCCATAGTATCATGCTGTTTTCTAACCCAACTTGATGATTAGGAATTAACTTTCTGTTTACTATGGTGCTCTGAAGTCTCTTCAATAAGAGCTTTTCGAAAACTTTTGAAAGCAATGGATGTAAAGCCCAGTGAAATTTCATTTAGTTCTCTAAGCTGGGGTAAATTTGGGTGAGGTTGAAAGACGTTACGCAGATGATCCGCAAAGGTATTAGCTTTCTCTTCGTTACTTCTGGTTCAGTAACCATCACTTTTCTTCTTCGTTTTTGAAACGCTAGTTGTAGAAGACTAAATATTGCTTGTAGAAGACTAGATACATGAGGCAGATATTAGATACTGCTAAAAGAGGACAAATTAATGCCAATGAAAAATTAGATTCTCCTGGGAAAAGGACTAGACATTATATATATATATATATTAACTGGAAATACTTCGTGTCAAATAATGACCATTGACTAAAAATAACCTTATTCAATATCGCACCGTTTTCGAGATTAAGGTCTTTAAAGTTCCAGAAAAAAAATCGTTTTTTCCATCTTTAAGCTAATCTACTTGTACGATGAAAATAAAATTTGGCATGGCCATTTAGTATTATTACATGCTTCTTATGGTGGAATTCTCCGAAATCAGCAAAATTATAGCAAGGAGAAAAAAATATCCCCTTATGTTAACACCAATAGAACTTTTTTGTTTCTCGATTTACAAGCACGAAATTAGCATCACCTAATAGGCCAGTTAAAATGCTAAAAATAAGGTCGTCTTGCAGAAACTTCGTGTTATACTTGTTTTTCGAGAAAAACGAGAATGTTTTTCGACGACCTAGAAGAACTTCCACTTAACCAAAGGAGAGATATGTGAATGATTCTAGTTCTAGCTCTTGTAATAGTTTTAGGGGTAGTGCTAATGCAATACTAGAACTAACACTAGAGCGAGAATCAGAAACATTCGGATTTAGCCGCGCGTCTCTCAAGACGGCTAGACCCGAATGATTCTAGTTCTAGGTTTTGTGTTAGTTCTATTGATACTGCTAGTGCAATACTAGAACTAACACTTGACCGAGAACTAGAAGCATTCGGATTTAGCCGCACGTCTCTTAAGACGGCTAAACCCGAATGATTCTAGTTCTTGGTCTTGTGTTAGTTCTATTGATAGTAATAGTGCAATATTAGAAGTAACACTAGATCGAGAAGTAGAAACATTCCGATTTAGCCGCACGTCTCTCAAGACGGCTAAACCCGAATGATTCTAGTTGTGCCGTATTTTTGGAGATAGTCTGTTGAGTTTTTATGAATGGCCAGCAAATATGGATGGTAACTCGTGTTTGGAGTTTCTGCAAAATTCACTTTTCGACGACCTAGAAGAACTTCCACTTAACCAAAGGAGAGATATGTGGTTCATGCAAGATGGAGCACTTCCTCATTATCCTCTGATGGCACGAAACTATCTAGATCAGTAATTTCCCCATCGTTGGATTGGCAGCGTCAGGATTGGCAGCGTCAGGAACTATGGCAGCAAATAGTCAATTCTGCTGATTTTGTTGCCAACCAACCAAACATATTTTTTAAAGTTAGAAGATGCTTTAGCGAAAGAATTACTAAACTTATTGAGGTTAATGGTGGTCACATTGAACATTTGTTAAGTGTTTTTTAAATTTTGTACGTAATCTTGTATTTTATAAATACGTATTTTGACACGTAGTATCTCCAGTTAAAATATTTCCCATTATTAATGAAACATCCTGTATATAGTCCTCCTGATATCAGGTTTCTCTCCGACACTGCCCTCTGTATGCTGCGTATTCAGGTAAACTTTGATCTTCCTCGCTTCCTTTTTGTTGGTACCCACTGGAAAGCAAGTTTTGGCCACCTTGAGACAATGCCAGAATTAGCCAGATTAGATGTGTTTGTTGAGTGTCCTCTATTATTGTTTTGTCCATTATCATTTCTGATCTTTGCCAATAATCCATCTCTATCTAATTGTCTGTTGAAGATGCATACATTAAATGTTGGTTATATTGCGGTAGATCAAAGATTGGTATGGATAAGATGACACAATTAGTGATTGCGAGAATGTGAATCTGAGTACATTTTAGTCGACCCTTTTCAGCGTTGAAGAATAGTAAAGGATATTAATAGGACAAAGTAGGATGTGTTCGACGTATTCAAAATTAACAAAAATATGTTTTTTATTTTATTTAAAAATTAATAAAAACAATAATCTCTAAACTTAAGCTGATAACGAGAAACTTATTAAAAAAAATATTTTTTTATAGTTTGCAATTTTCTAAACGTATTTATTATTGTCCAAAGTACATTTATATTAAAACCGCTACGATTTCAAATTTAGCATCAGCGAATCTCTAAATACGTCAAAACTGATAATGTTATAACAAGATGCAAAATCTGCAAAAATCGAATTTGTATAAAAGAGACTAAAACGTTAAATCCCATCAACTGATTTATTTCACAGTTCAATCGATCGATATGAAAGCGTTTTTAGCATTATCCCTTTTCGTTTTGGCGGTAAGCGCCCATCACATCCCATTAGGATCGGGATCTTACAATGCGGTAAGTAAAAAAATAATTTAAATATTAATTATATACTTTTATACTTAATCTTTTAGTCCAAATTAGCCAAAGAAGAAGGATACCCAACCCAAACTTTATATGTTGAAACTCAAGATGGTTACAAATTGGAAATAACTCGTATCGCGGGGAGTAAAGATGAAAGAGAAAGTGTTTTAGATCAATTAAAACAATCTGGGAGAATTGAAACCGAAAAACCAGTTGTTTTGCTTATGCACGGTATTTTTGGGGATTCCTCCGAATTTGTTATCAATTCTGAAAGTTCCATCGCGTATCTTTTGGCCGATAGAGGATTCGATGTCTTTTTGGGTAACTTTAGAGGTGTTCGTAATTCTGATGATCACCACAGTCGATTGAATGGACATAAAGATCGCGCTTTTTGGGATTATTGGTACGTTTTAAAACAATTAAGAAATCTTAAATAATAATTTATTTCGAAATAGCTTTGATGATATGGGCGTTAAAGATCTCCCATCAATAATCAATAAAGTTCTTGGCGTTTCCGGACAACAAAAATTGTATTACATCGGTTTTAATCAAGCAAATTCGGCCGTTTACGTTTTATTGTCTCAAAAACCCGAATATAATAATAAAATTGAAAAAATCGTTGCTTTGGCCCCACTTGTTTACATGGAAAATTCTAAGAATCCAATGATGCAAATTATTTCTGAAAATTATCAATCATCAGCTGTAAGTTCTTTTTTGCAAATTATTTATGGTTATTAAATTTTTAATTTTAGTGGGTTTCTAAATGGTTGGGTTCGCACCAATTCATCCCATCCGATGAATTTGTTTCACAAATAACACAAAAATGTTTAGACAAAAAAGGTGATGAAAATTTATGTAGAAACATTTATTTCCTCATGAATGGATTTGCTCGTAATTACCCAGGAGTAAGATATAAAAATCAATACGAATTTTATTTCATTAATTTTTATTTTTAGACGATTGCTACTAAATTTGCGCAAGCTTACCCAAGCAAAACTTCCACCCAAGAACTTCTTCACTACGCCCAATTAATCAAAACCAACAAATTCGAGCCTTATTACAAAAACGAAGACTCCGAAGAATACGATTTAACCAAAATCAACGTCCCAGTTGTTTTGGTTTCTGTGCCACAAGACATTTTAGCTGATGAGCGCGATGTTGATACTTTGGAGAAACGATTACCGAAGGTCGAAGAACACATCAAGATTAACGATTACAATTCTAACTTAGATTTGATTCTTAATTCGAATGCAAGAACTAACGTTTATGAAAAAATTGTAAAGAAATTACGTAAAAATCAAGAGTAAATGTAAAGAAATGTTTTCAATTTTTGTTTTATGAATAAACAAAATGTTATTAACACGTGATTTGTTTTTAATTATAAATTTAAAAGATTTTATATCACTATTAAATTAAGTAATTATTTTCACATTGTAAATAAAATTTTTATTATGTATTTAAAATTTCCACAACATCTCCATTAACTCTTTGCGTAAAAATTCCGTAAAAATATGCTACATAGTGATATGTGATGCTAATTAGCGCTACCTATCACTGTCACTAGAACTAACATTAGATCTAGAACTAGAAACCGGTCTTTTTAGCCGTCTTGAGAGACGTGCGGCTAAACCCGAATGATTCTAGTTCTAGGTCTTGTGTTAGTTCTAGGGATAGTGCTAATGCAATACTAGAACTAACACTAGATCGAGAATTAGAAAAATTCAGATTTAGCAGCACGTCTCTCAAGACGGCTAAACCCGAATGATTCTAGTTCTAGGTATAGTGATAGTTCTAGTTTTACACTTGCACTGTCACTAGAACTAACATTAGACCTAGAACTAGAAACATTCGGATTTAGCCGCACGTCTCTCAAGACGGCTAAACCCGAATGATTCTAGTTATAGGTCTTGTGTTAGTTTTAGGGATAGTGTTTATCCACTACTAGAACTAGAAGCGAATGATTCTAGTTCTAGGTTTTGTGTTAGTTCTAGGGATAGTGCTAATGCAATACTAGAACTAACACTAGATTGAGAACTAGAAATATTCGGATTTAGCCGCACGTCTCTCAAGACGGCCAAACCCGAATGATTCTAGTTCTAGGTCTTGTGTTAGTTTTAGGGATAGTGCTTATGCAATACTAGAACTAGAAGCGGATGATTCTAGTTCTAGGTCTTGTGTTAGTTCTAGGGATAGTGCTAATGCAATACTAGAACTAACACTAGACTGAGAACTAGAAACATTCGGATTTAGCGGCACGTCTCTCAAGACGGCTAAACCCGAATGATTCTAGTTCTAGGTCTTGTGTTAGTTCTAGGGATAGTGCTAATGCAATACTAGAACTAACACTAGATCGAGAACTAGAAACATTCGGATTTAGCCGCACGTCTCTCAAGACGGCTAAACCCGAATGATTCTAGTTCTAGGTATAGTGTTAGTTCTAGTTTTACACTTGCACTGTCACTAGAACTAACATTAGACCTAGAACTAGAAACATTCGGATTTAGCCGCACGTCTCTCAAGACGGCTAAACCCGAATGATTCTAGTTCTAGGTCTTGTGTTAGTTCTAGGGATAGTGCTTATGCAATACTAGAACTAGAACCGAATGATTCTAGTTCTAGGTCTTGTATTAGTTCTAGGGATAGTGCTAATGCAATACTAGAACTAACACTAGATCGAGAACTAGAAGCATTCGGATTTAGCTGCACGTCTCTAAAGACGGCTAAACCCAAATGATTCCAGTTCTAGGTATAGTGTTAGTTCTAGTTTTACACTTGCACTGTCACTAGAACTAACATTAGACCCAGAACTAGAAACATTCGGATTTAGCCGCACGTCTCTCAAGACGGCTAAACCCGAATGGTTCTAGTTCTAGGTCTTGTATTAGTTCTAGGGATTGTGCTAATGCAATACTAGAACTAACACTAGATCGAGAACTAGAAAAATTCGGATTTAGCAGCACGTCTCTCAAGACGGCTAAACCCGAATGATTCTAGTTTTAGGTCTTGTGTTGGTTCTATTGATAGTGCTAGTGTTATACTAGAACTAACACTAGACCGAGAACTAGAAACGTTCGGATTTAGCAGCACGTCTCTCAAGACGGCTAAACCCGAATGATTCTAGTTTTAGGTCTTGTGTTGGTTCTATTGATAGTGCTAGTGCTATACTAGAACTAACACTAGACCGAGAACTAGAAACGTTCGGATTTAGCTGCAAGTCTCTAAAGACGGCTAAACCCGAATAATTCTAGTTCTAGGTATAGTGTTAGCTCTAATTTTATACTTGCACTGTCACTAGAACTAACATTAGACCTAGAACTAGAAACATTCGGATTTAGCCGCACGTCTCTCAAGACGGCTAAACCCGAATGATTCTAGTTCTAGGTCTTGTGTTAGTTCTAGGGATAGTGCTTATGCAATACTAGAACTAGAACCGAATGATTCTAGTTCTAGGTCTTGTATTAGTTCTAGGGATAGTGCTAATGCAATACTAGAACTAACACTAGATCGAGAACTAGAAACATTCGGATTTAGCAGTACGTCTCTCAAGACGGCTAAACCCGAATGATTCTAGTTCTAGGTCTTTTGTTAATTCTAGGGATAGTGCTTATGCAATACTAGAACTAGAACCGAATGATTCTAGTTCTAGGTCTTGTATTAGTTCTCGGGATAGTGCTAATGCAATACTAGAACTAACACTAGATCGAAAACTAGAAACATTCGGATTTAGCTGCAAGTCTCTCAAGACAGCTAAACCCAAATGTTTCTAGTTCTAGGTCTAATGTTAGTTCTAGTTTTACACTGGCACTATCACTAGAACTAACGCAACTCAACCCAACCCGAATGTTTCTAGTTCTAAGACCAGTGTTGAAATTCCCGGTATAATTCGTCTGTTTTTTCTTATTTTTGAACCAGCTAGATGTTCTTCCAAAGAATTTATGGACAGTGTGTAGCTGCAGATTAATTCCAAAAATATGATTATTGGACATTTAGGTATTTATGGAATTGCAAATCTTCCTGAACACTCAATAAACAAAATTACAACTCCTGTGTTATCTATAGATATTGAACAATTCTTAAGTGTTTTTTGTATTTTTAATTTCAATTCTTTTATGAAGAATCATCTCAAGTAGATCTATGNTTAGTTCTAGTGATAGTGCTAGTGCAATACTAGAACTAACACTAGACCGAGAACAAGAAACATTCGGATTTAGCCGCACGTCTTTCAAGACGGCTAAACCCGAATGATTCTAGTTCTAGGTCTTGTGTTAGTTCTATTTATAGTGCTAGTGCAATACTAGAACTAACACTAGATCGAGAACTAGAAACATTCGGATTTAACCGCACGTCTCTCACACTAAGAAAAATAATGTGGGAAAACTACCTAAAATTTAGTCTATTATCTAGAATTTTTAGTCAAAAATTAGCTAACTACTACTAGTTATAAAAACTAATTCTATTTCGATAATTTAAGATAGATAAATTATCGAAAAATCTATCTTATAAATACATACTGTAATGTTTTACTGTGTGTGTCCCACTTGTGTGTGTGGTGACTTTGTTGATTAATTGAAGTAAAACTACAATATTCGGTTTTTCAAAAAATAGGTTTTTCTTTAATTTATTTAATTACAATAATAATAACAGTTTTAACTATGAGACTCTAGTTAAACTCAGGGTTCGGGCAAGTTCAGTTCAAAAAGTAAATTTCTTTTGAATTTAAATTAAATTTCTATCGACGAGAGGTAAAACTTTTAAATAAAAACAGAAAACTACAATTATCGACTGAAAAATCGATCTGAGAGAGAACACGTTTATTTTTTATATTTTTGAGACAGAACAGGGTAGAAAACCCGTTGTATCCGTCCTTGAAATAAAAAATGGCTAACGTTTTAAATTGAAATCAAACTCGTTGAAAAAAGTGTTAAAAGAAAATGAAAGTTATACAAGAAAAACCGAAAAATCTTTACTCACAAGTAATTATTAATAATGAATTATAAAGGGAAGTGAGTTGTCTTTTGAGTTTAATTGGTTAATTTTTCTTTTATAGGTTATGTTAAATAAAAAAAAATAAATTATCAACCGACTCACTGCGAAGAAAAAGGATTGGAATTCAATGTGGTAACAGGATAATGGATTGTTTCTTGGTTTCGGAGTTCGAACTAGTTTTTCTGGATTCCTCGTAGTTTCAGATCTCTTTCGGATTATTCGGGATTGTCTACAGGATTCCTCTGACGGATGAGTGGACTGCTTGTCCTTCGGATTTGGATGACTTCGAAGATGTTTCAGGAGTTCTCGGATAAGGTTTGAGGTTAATTCAATTATTTTATAATTTTGAGGTTATTTCTTTTTTAACTTTGACGTTTTAAATGGACTCGTTGACCTCGCGGAGATTTTTTTTTCTGTCAACCGACGTGCATTCGTTGCCGGTCAGATGACGACTGTCTTCTGTTTGCTTGCGATTTCCTTTTATACTTGGCCCCTTCCTGTTTCTTCCTCGTTTCTGATTGGTTCTTAGATTCGCGCCTTTTTCAAATTTTAAAATTTTTCCATCGAAACTAGCGTCATCTCTCGGATTTTTTTGAAACTAACCTTCAAAATTAAATTCTTTTTTCGTTGATTTCTCCCTTATTCCTTTATGAATCGTAATAAAACTTCGTATTTATCGTTGTCTTTTCTTGTTTTCAGATATACATTGGAGTACACGCCAAATTTCATCAATGAGTAAAGTTAGAAAAATTCAATTTTAAATCAACGATTTCCTCTTCAAAATAACGTTAAAACATCAAAGGATGGATGAAAAATGTGCTTTAGGAGCTGAACTAATTTAATTGATACCTTTTGAAGCAAACTAAACGGTTTTAAATAAGATTTTTACCAACAAAAATTTCTCTGTCAAAATTTTATGGTTATGTTTTTCTCGATGAACTATGAAATGGTTATTTTTATCACAATAGATATTCAGACTAGAACAAAATAGACAAAATACCAAATACTTTAGGTAACTAAACTACTCAACAATTAGACTTATCAACTGGTTTCCACGATGTAGTTTCTTTTTCTAAAAATTAGTTATATCACCTCAGTAAATAGTTAAATTAACTATCATAAATTTATACGAATATTATTTAATACGAATTTATTTAACGAACAGTTTTTAATTATAAATTTAAAAGATTTTATATCATTATTAAATTAAGTAATTATTTTCACATTGTAAATAAAGTTTTTAATAAGTATTTAAAATTTCCACAACATCTCCATTAACTCTTTCTGTAACATCTTGAGCGAAAATAAAATCAACATGGGCATATCCTTCGATTAATTTTTCGAAAACTACATTTGGAAGTTCTCTAAGTAACTGTTCAACATCCTATAAGTTATTAAAAATTAATTAAAACTGCCTAAATGCAAACTAAAAGAAATTAAAATTTACCACAACATTAGCATTGCTATCTTCATCTCCATACAAGAAAGCTGTAGGAGTCGTAATCTTACTCAAATCATAATTTGGAGGGGTTACAGATCCGTATTGAGCTAAATTTCCAACTAATCCAAAATCAAAACGGCGGAAAAATCCTGATTGTATTTCTTGGCCATAATGAACCCATTGTTTGGATGATGCCCCAGCTGGTAAATGGGTGGCAAAAACAGGTCCCCAATTCTAAACACACAAAATTTATTATTTAATACAAACAACTCAAAAAACTTACATCATCCATCTCATCACTTGTTTGTCCAAATATCAAAAAGAAAATGTTATCACAAATTTGTTGACCACTTCCTTTGCACCATTCAACCAAAGGTCCCATTAATTCGTAGTTTGGCACAAATTCATGCCAACCAATCATGTCCAGTAACTCATCTAAAGCGTTAACGTATTCCGAAAGATATTGCAATAATGAATTGCTCATATTAGACATGTAAGCGATAGGAGCTAAAGAAATAGCTACGTTAAATTTATCGTTATACTCGGGTCTTGAAGATGCCAAAACGTAAAAGGTGGTTGTTCCTTGGGAATAACCAAGATAAGACATTTTCTCAACACCAGTTTGTTCTTGGATGTAATCTATAAAAGCTGGAAGATCGTAATAACCAATTTCGTGCCAACTGAATTTCCAAAATACATCAGCATCATCTTCTGGGTCTAAAGAGATGTGTTTCTTTGAAAATTGTGTCCCTCTAGCACTTGGCATCCAAACATCGTATCCTTGATCGGCTAAAATAAAAGCTAAACCATTCTCAGGACCATATGTTGCGTAAACAGCTCCATTACACATTAAACAATGCATCAATAAAGCTACTTTTTTGTCTTTTTGATCGCCGTTGGTTTTTCCATGTGGGATTCTATGCATTGTTAATAAATAACCATCTTCAGTTTGAATGTCTTCGTGTACTTCGATTGGGTAACCATAAAACTCCACAAAATCGACCTGAAGAAATTAAATACATATTATAATTTAATTTTATATATTTGAATACGAACAAAGCTTAAACCAGCAGCTGGATGAATATCTTTTGTTTCGTTGGCGTTGGATAAAGCCAAAAATGCCAAAATCGACAAAATTGCGAGCTTCATTTTTAAGAAGAGACTGAAGATGTCGATTAAATAAAGTGCCTTATTTATAGGTGAAAAAATCTTATCTTTATACTTGTGGAGATATCGTTTTTGCATAGATCTACTTGAGATGATTCTTCATAAAAGAATTGAAATTAAAAATACAAAAAACACTTAAGAATTGTTCAATATCTATAGATAATACAGGAGTTGTAATTTTGTTTATTGGGTATTCAGGAAGATTTGCAATTACATAAATACCTAAATGTTTAATAATCATATTTTTGGAATTTATCAGCAGCTACACACTGTCCATAAATTGTTTGGAAGAACATCTAGCTGGTACAAAAATAAGAAAAACATAAATTATACCGGGAATTTCAACACTGGTCTTAGAACTAGAAACTAGTGTAAAACTAGAACTAACTCTAGACCTAGAACAAGAAAGCATCGGGTTTAGCCGTGCGTCTGAAGACGGTTCTGGTTCTAGGTCTAGTGTTAGTTCTAGTTTTAGTGCAATAAAAATATGCAACATAGTGATATGTTATGCTAACTAGCGCTACCTATCACTGTCACTAGAACTAACATTAGATCTAGAACTAGAAACATTTGGGTTTAGCCGCACGTCTCTCAAGACGGCTAAACCCGAATGATTCTAGTTCTAGGTATAGTGTTAGTTCTAGTTTTACACTTGCACCGTCACTAGAACTAACATTAGACCTAGAACTAGAATCATTTCGGTTTATCCGCACGTCTCTTAAGACGGCTAAACCCGAATGATTCTAGTTCTAGGTCTTGTGTTAGTTCTAGTTTTACACTAGCACTATCACTAGAACTAACACAAGACCTAGAACTAGAAACATTCCGGTTTAGCCGTCTTGATAGACGTGCGGCTAAACCCGAATGTTTCTAGTTCTAGGTCTAGTGATAGTTCTAGTTTTACACTAGCACTATCACTAGAACTAACACAAGACCTATAACTAGAATCATTCGGGTTTAGCCGTCTTGAGAGACGTGCGGCTAAATCCGAATGTTTCTAGTTCTAGGTCTAATGTTAGTTCTAGTGACAGTGCAAGTGTAAAACTAGAACTAACACTATACCTAAAACTAGAATCATTCGGGTTTAGACGTTTTTAGAGACGTGCAGCTAAATAATTCTAGTTCTAGGTATAGTGTTAGTTCTACATAGTAACAATGCTAGTGTAAAACTAGAACTACCACTAGACCTAGAACTAGAAACATTCGGGTTTAGCCGCACGTCTATCAAGACGGCTAAACCCAAATGATTCTAGCTCTAGGTCTTGTGTTTGTTCTAGGGATAGTGCTAATGCAATACTAGAACTAACACTAAATCGAGAACTAGAAACATTCGGATTTAGCCGCACCTCTCTCTAGACGGCTAAACCCGAATGATTCTAGTTCTAGGACTTGTGTTGGTTCTATTGATGGTACCAAGGTAATACAAATGGTTCTAGTTCTAGGTATAGTGTTAGTTCTACATAGCAACAGTGCTAGTGTAAAAGTAGAACTAACACTAAAAACCACATAACCACCTTTTCGCCTTCCGAATAATTTGGAGAAATAATTTTATAAACTTTACAAATGATAAACTAGCGGTTAGATGGAGATTTTTAGTGGAATTCTTTGATATGGTCAAAACGCTGGAAGCCACAAAAATTATAAACACTGCTAAAATCTTCATGTTTACTAATCGGCAAGAAGTTTATCTTTATGCATGAAATCAAAATCTGATTAAATTTAAAGAGACAAATTGATAATTTGTTAACAAGAAGTGGCACTTCATCGGAACGTAATATGTCTCGATAAGATCTAAACTTAAGCTGACACATCTCCGTGATTAGTAGATGAAAACAGCTCTTTGCCTCCATGTTTGAAAATTTCAACAGGAGTGATTTCTCTTTCATTTGTAACTTTTGGTGATGTGGCCTTTTTTTGTAGCTCTCGCATTCTGGAATTAAAAGTTCTTGAAAGTGAGCTTGCCATGTATTCTTGATGTTTCTATACTTGATGAGTACTATAACTTGAATTTCTATTGAGATTATAGGTTGTGGAAAGAAGAATCGATCAAAAACTTTTTTCATTAAAGATTTATTAAAAAAATCCTCAAGCATATTGACTCATGATATCAATCACATCATTATAAACATCGCTAACAACATTCTTCGATAAAACAAAATCGAAATGATTGTAAGTTTCAATCCGGTTCAAAAGAGCCAAATTTGGTAGATCAGCTGCAAATTGTTCTACATCCTATAACCAAAAATAAATTATGTTTCCAAATTATTTCAAAATAAAAGCAAATAATAATCTTACAGCAGTAGCAATTTCATCTTTAGCTCCATAAAATATCGCGATGGGTGCCGTGATTTTGCTAACATCATATTCAGGTGGGGTTGTGGAGCCATATTCGCCTAAATTTCCAACTAAACCGTAATCAAAGCGACGGAATTTAGCTGAAGCAATAAGTTGGCCGTAATGAATGATTTGGTTTGCAGAGCAACCACCTGGGTATGTTGTTGCAAAAACGGGGAGCCAACTTTGTTCAACTGTGTCGGGCGAAATACCCAAAAGCCATAAAAAGAAATCTGTGCAGAATTCTTGGCCTATTCCGTTACAGAACTCAGCGATTGGTTCTAAAAGGTGGTAATTAGGTAAAAATTCGTACCATTGAACCATATCGGCGAGTTGCTACAAAATAATTTCATTCAATTAATTAATTTATGCAACAAAAAAATCTTACGGTTAAAGGATCGATGTATTTCGCTAAGAAAAGCAAAAAATCATTTTCCATTTTAGCGAAATAAGTACCTGGGGCTAAGAAAACCGATAAACTAAAAACGTCGTTGTATTCAGGACGAGCAGCTGCCATAGCAGTGAATGAAGTTGTTCCTTGTGAATATCCAACATACAACATTTTTTCAACTCCAGTATTTTCACGAATTACATTAACCGCAGCTGGGATATCATAATAACCGATTTCGTGGAAACTAAATCTCCAAAAAGCTCCCGTGTTATCATCAGGATTCAAAGAAACGTGTTTCCTTGAAAAATCGGTTCCTCGCGCGTTTGGCATCCAAACATCGTAACCTTGATCGGCTAAAATGTAGGCTAAACCTTTATCTGGGCCGTACATTGCAAAAATAGCTGCGGAACAAGTTAAACAATGCATTAAAAGAACTACTCCTTTTCTTGGAACATCGGTGACACCACGAGGAATTCTATGCATGGTGATTAAATATCCATCTTCGGTTAAGATGTCTTCGTAAACTTCAACTGGGTATCCAAAATGTTTTATTAAATCAACCTATAATGATTTTTAAAAGGAGTTAAAAGGAATTAAAAGAAGTGATAGAAAAAACAAACCAATGGTAATCCAGCAGCTGTGTGTAAATTTTTTGAGGTATCATTTAAAGCGCTAGAGATCCCCAATAAAGTTAATATAACCCCTAAGAGTTTCATTTTGACTATAATCCCATTAAAAAAATTTCTGTTTATATATTTATGTCTTTATCAGTAACATTATAATCGTTTACATCGTCTTGATAATAAACAATAAGTGTTTAGTTGAAGTGATGATGAAGTAAAATTATTTTAAACAACATTGATAAATCAAATTATTTGCATAAACAATCTTTATTATCCATCTAAATTATACATATTTACTCATGAGTGCTAAAACATCGTTATAAACCAATTCGATAACGTTAGCATTGAGTATAAAATCGATGTGATTAAACATTGGATCATCGACTAATTGTAAATGAATCAAATTTGGTAAATCGGCAGCGAAATTTTCGACATCATCAGTAATAATTTCATCATTTGCACCATAAAAAATAGCAACGGGTGTGGTGATTTTGCTTACATCGTACTCTGGAGGTGTTGGTGTACCATATTCAGCTAAATTTTCTTCTAAGCCATAATCGTATTGTTGGAATTTCTTCGAAACGATTAACTGTCCGTAATGAATCAATTGATTAGCTGAACAACCAGAAGGTATAAATGTTGCAAAAACTGGCAACCAACTTTGTTCGAGTTGATCTGGGGAAACACCGAGGAAGGTAAGGAAAAATTCTGTACAAAATTCTTGTCCGAATCCATTACAAAATACGGCCAATGCATCGAAAAGATGATAATTTGGTAAAAATTCGAACCACATAATATCTTTTACGAGTTCCTAAAAATTAAGTATTAAAATTAATGTTTGGAGTTTTATTTTAATTCTAACCATTAATGGGTCGAGATGTTTCGCTAAAAGTAATAAAAATGAATTTTTTATGTTAGCAAAATACGTTCCAGGTGCTAATAAAACGGATAAACTGAATAGATCGTTGTATTCTGGACGAGTTGCTGCTAAAACAGTGAAAGTTGTCGTTCCTTGTGAGAATCCAACATACATCATTTTTTCAACCCCCGTATTCTCTTTAACTACTTCAATAGAAGCTGGGAGGTCGTAATAAGCGATTTCGTGCCAACTAAATCTCCAAAAAGCGCCTGTCTTATCATCGGGATTCATTGAAATGTGTTTTCTTGAAAACTCAGTACCTCTTGCGTTGGGCATCCAAACATCATATCCTTGATCGGCTAAAATAAAAGCTAAACCTTTCTCCGGACCATACATTGTATAAATAGTAGCGCTGCATGTTAAACAATGAACTAATAAGACGACTCCTTTTTTGGGTTGATCTGCGTTGTTTTTCCCGTGGGGGATTCTATGCATCGTTAATAAATACCCATCTTCAGTTTGGATGTTTTCGTATACTTCAATTGGATATCCGAAATATTTCACAAAATCAACCTAAAAAATAATAAACAAATAAAATAAAGATTAATTATTTTATGATAAATATTACAAATGATAAACCGGTAGCTGGGTGAAGATTTTTGGTGGAATTATTTGGTGTGGCCCAAACACCAGAACCCACAAAGACAATAAGAACTAATAAGATCTTCATTTTGACTAACGATTAACGAAAAAACTCCAGCTTTTATATTTATTTTTATCTTTACGAGAAGATCTGATTAATCCAAAAGTGTTTTTGATTTTTTCGATAAAGTCGCAAAATAAAATTTTTTCAAGCCCTTTAAATAATGTTTATTAAGTTAATTCTCAACTCAATGTAGTCTAATGTTCAATGGATTGTGTTAGTCAAAGAGGAACAGGATTAGAATCTAATTCCAGTTTTTGCGTGTTGCGAATATCTTTTCTATTTAAACTTAGCAGAAAAATCTCTCTTTGGCTATGGTATCTATTGTAATTAAATAACAACCTACCTCATTACCACATGAACATCCAGGAGAGTCTACAATACCCAGTCTATAAATAATAATAATAATAATAATAAACTTTATTGCCCAACAGCGCACCATATTAAGGGCAAAATACAAAAAATATACAAATTATTACAAATTGTACATCAATATAATTACAAGTGAAATTAAAATGCATAAAATACATACCAAAATAATAATACAATCAAATAAAAGAGGCAAGAAAAGAGACAGAAAATGCAATGTTTATTCTAGCCTACAACTATCGTTCATGTTCGTGATCATATGTGTTATCGGCGCCCTTTTTTTGACATTTGTTCTGCATAAAGGTGGATAAAAATACAAATGGGACCGAGAATTTATGCGCGGCACCACTATATTCACTCGCGCACAGTCGATCTCACCACACATCAACTTTTGCAAGAACGAGGCACTTTGGACCATTCTTCTATCCTGCAGAGAAGGAAGCTTGTGGCAATGCAGTAGATCTAAGTAGTTCACTCCTTTAGGCGGATATTGACCATCCATACGATATGACAAAAATTTGAGAAATCGACGCTGGACTTTCTCAACCATTAGTTGTTGCGACGTGTAAATAGGGTACCATATTACAGAGGCATACTGGAGGCGAGAGATCACCAGAGCCATAAATAGCGTTTTCAGGGTTGGGTCGACCCATGATCCTCAGTATGAAACCCAAAGTTCTCCAAGCCTGAGAGCACATCTCTTAGATACGTCAATATCGAGGTAGATACGAAAATATGAAAATTTGATCAATTTGTTGCTCTTTCAAGTTATTAAAGGTAACACTTAGGAATCGGAGTTTGCTATAAGAAAACTTTTATAACAAGAATTGTTGCAAATTTTATTGTTAACAATATTGCTCTCTTGCACTTTTGTTATTAGATACGTCAATATCGAGAAAAATACAAAAATATGAAAATTTTAAAAAATTGTTTATTTTTCAAGATATTATAGGTAACGTTTGAAAATCGGAGCTTGCTATAAGAAAACTTTTATAACAAAAATTGTTGCAAATTTTATTGTTAACAATATTGCTCTCTTGCACTTTTGCTATTAGATGCGTCAATATCGAGGCAGATACGAAAATATGAAAATTTGATGAATTTGTTGCTTGTTCAAGTGATTAAAGGTAATCCTTAGGAATCGCAGCATGTTACAAAAAAACTTTTAGCACAAAAGTTGTAGCAAATTTTATTGTTAACAATATTGCTCTCGTGCACTTTAGCTCTTAAATGCGTCAATATCGAGATAGATACGAAAATATGAAAATTTTATGAATTTGTTGCTTTTTCAAGTGATTAAAGGTAACCGTTAGGAATCGCAATATGTTACAGAAAAACTTTTAGTACAAAATTTGTAGCAAATTTTATTGTTAACAATACTGCTCTCTTGCATATTTGCTTTTAAATGCGTCAATATCGAGATAGATACGAAAATGTAAAAATGTTATGAATTTCTTACTCATTCAAGTTATTAAAGGTACCACTTAGGAATCGGAGTTTGCTATAAGAAAACTTTTATAACAAGAATTGTTGCAAATTTTATTGTTAATAATATTGCTCTCTTGCACTTTTACTCTTAAATGCGTCAATATCNGCACCACTTCTGAATAATGTCCAGGTTGTTCTGCAGCATCCTAGAGTCATCCAATGATCTGACCTCCACAAAAATTTTCAAATCATCAGCATAAGCAAGCACTGGACAGGTAAGCGAGTCTAATAAATCGTTTATATATAGAACAAATAGCAGCGGTCCCAGATTGGATCCTTGAGGAACACCAGATGTAGGCGAGTAGCCGTCGGAATAAAATCCATTGTAAAAAACACAACATACTGTATCAGCAAGGTACGATTTCATCAAATTTAATGAATTAGAAGACATACCAAAATAGCTCAATTTCTGTAGCAACATACTGTGATCAATGCGATCAAAGGCCTTCTCAAAATTGGTATAAACTACGTCGACTTGTCCACCAACATCCATTACCTCTGCGACGTACTGGGTAAGACAACATAAATTAGTTATTGTCGAGCGTTTAGGCACAAAACCATGTTGGTGAGGCGATACATATGATTGTGTGTGACGATAAATTGTATTAAAAATTATCTGCTCATATACCTTTGCAAAATTAGATAGAATAGCAATTGGTCTGTAGTTGGTTACCAAGGACTTGTCACCTTTCTTAAATACGGGCGTGATTCTAGCTGACTTCCATCTCTGAGGGAAAATCGAAGCAGTTATAGAGCGATTAATAATGTACATCAACGGTTTAGCTAACGCAAATCGTACATCACGTACCAGAAAACTAGGTATTTGGTCTTCACCCGCTGTGAGTTTGGAGCTAAAACCCCTCATTACAGCAATTATCTCCTCCTCGGTTACCTGATGGATATTAAACATTGGCAACGTGGGAACTGCGTCAGTAAAATCCCTGGAATTGTCAGAATAAACAGATGAAAAATAGGAATCGAAAGCATTGACTATATCAATCGGAATAGTATATTCATCTACATCATCTCTAACGATCGACGGTATTCTGCTAGTACCTTGCTTTAGTCGAACGAAATTCCAGAAATCACTAGGATCGTGCTTTAAATTATCAGAGGCATGTTGCCAAAAGGAATTGTAAGCAGCGTCGATTTGTTCTTTTACTAGTGATCTCATTCTAATGAAGTGATCGAGATAGAACGTTTGTTTGGTAGTTCTGTACTTGTGTCTATAGTACTCTTTAGTTTTAAGGTTTTTAATTATTTCCTTAGAGAACCACTGAGGATAATTGTTTTGCTTCTGTTGAGTGCAAGGCACCGATTTCTCTATTAAATTATAAAGAGAAGTATAAAACAAATCCAACATTTCGTCCACGTCGTTTACATCTTCTAAAAATGACCAATCCATGAGAGCAATGTCATCATATAAAGTCGGAAAATTCGCTCTTCGAAAGTTAAATCGAGAGACAACAGCGTTTGGAAAAACAGTCGGAAATTTTGTAATTTCAATTGATAGAGCAGTCGACAACGCCGGATGATGCTTATCCTCAGAAACGAAAGGATAGAGCTCCTTCTCAATACAAATTTGACTATCCAAGTTAGTGAAAATTAAATCAAGAATTCTACCATAGGCATTTCGGATTGTGTTGATTTGATTCAAATTTAAAAAATCAATAAAGTTTCGCACACTCAGTGCTCTTGGGCAGTTATAATTGTCAGCATATTCAAAAACATTGAAATCAAGAAATAAAGATGACTAGGGAATTTACCATGGCCAAATTTCATCCTCGCAATAGAGGTGTATAGAAATCTGGTCACTCGTCCATTCTAACATCTCTTGTCTCACCATGGTAATTAGATCCTCCACATATATTCTGCCCATGTTCTGCATACCACTCACTAACGCATCCTTCACTAGACGATCCACTATTTCTTTCGGCTTTAGGTTTAATCCAACAAAATTGAATCCTATGGTTTTGTCGCCTTAACCGATCAACGGTTTCCAAAACTTTCTGCACAGAAGAATGTTGGCTTGTATAATGTTTATACCGTGATAGGGCTTCTAACACACTTTTAGACTCACTCATGATGCACACGTTCACAATTTGGTTTTGTTCTATGTATTCCAATGCTTTTTCACATTTTTTCAACCTATACTTTTTACTTATTTTGAGTAGGTCGTCCCAGTATGCGCAGTAACAACCATCTTTTATCTTTTAGCCATCTGTGTATATAAGGTAAATGACAGAGAGTGACTCCATGAGTTTGGTTTCCAGGAAAATGTGTTTGTCCACTTCGCAATGTCCTGTATATCTTGGAAATCGTACTGATACAGGTTGTTCCGCTATGGAGAAGTTATTTGGTGTTGCAACCACTGTAATATCTGATAGGTACTTTTGCAGGTACTCATATCCCGTGCACAGCGGCGAAAAGCGTTTATATCCTGTACGATCAATTTTATTTATAACCCACAAACTTCTGACATTTTTTAATAGTCCTCTTAAGTCTTAAAATAAACTTGGACATCATGAATCTTCGTCGCAATTGTAAAGGTGGTTCAACACGCAACGCTTCCACTGGTGTAGACGACATCACTCTCACACACAACCTCATAGCTTTGTTTTGCATAACCTCGAGTCTATTAATCTCACTTGCACTAGCATTGCCATAAAATACCATAGTCCAATTGCGACCTTATGCAAGCTTCATCAAAAACGTTTCAGAACCAATACATCCGCTCCCAAGAAGTTGATATGCCCTCTCCACCTAAGCTTATTGTCTACAACCATCCCCAAATATTTTTGATTTGTTCTCAAGAGAAAGTTCAAGTTATCCAGCACTAATTGATCTTGATGCGGTAGTCTGTGTCTTGTAAAAAAGAGTACAGTGCTTTTGCTTGGAGACATTTCTAAATTGCTTGCAAATAACCAGTTGTTAAGGTTCCTAACAATTTGGGCGAGAATTTGATGGGGACTTCACCTGGTCATGCAAATCTCTCAAATGAGTTGTTTGGTTTCAAATACCCTTAAGTCCAAATTTTTCGATTTTGAGAAAACGGCAAAAAAGTATTTTGGGATGATTTTGGAATAATTCAAACATAATTTATTTGTTATTAGAAGACTTACTGAAGTTTCAAAAATTCTATAACCACGTCTTTTGAAATAGATATAAAAATCACAAAGTGGATTTAAAAATGGTGTTTGGTTGCGTTTGCTACCAAACTGTGGATTAAGGCTCATTTGAATCTGAACAAAATGGATTAGGCATGAATTGAAAGTGAATCAAATCTCTTTGTAGCTAATAACAGGAAACTTTATTTTTTGAAAGATATGTTATTTAAAAACTGTACTTAAAAAACTCTTAAACTGTAACATCAGGTATATTTTCGGTTGATTCACATAAACTAGGCTCTTCGTCCCCACTGTCTTCTCGAGAATCGCCAGGAATATTATTGTTCTGAAATTTTCCCAACACATCTCTATAATAAGCCAAATTTTCTACCGCTCTCCAGTTCTTTCCATAATGTTTGCTTAACAAGTTATTTACATCTCTCATTTTCAGATCTTTTGGTTTCACTCCGGTAGGAATTTCTTTTGGCTGGATATTCATGGCGGTTTGGTTTTTCCTAAAAACTCCTTTGAATGTTCCGGTGTCTGAACGGTAAGATAACTCACCTCGAATGGTGATGGCGTTTTTTTTGCCACGTCGTATAATATATCTCTTACATTGGTTAAATTTAAAATGCCACTGAGACACTGGCTTAAGGATTTTTTGACCAGCACCTTTCCAATCACTATCGGGAACATCTTTTCCAAGTTTAAAAACAGTAGCATGTTCTTGAAAAATATTTATGTATTCTTCTGGCATTACAATTTCTTCTTTCTTTCTTATTTCTTTTTCGATAGTAGCAAAAACCCTGTCAGGTGGAATGTAGGAGTGCCCAACCACTGGGAATACCAGCTCGATTGTTCTAATAGAACTGCTTATACTGCTTAGCCATTTGAACAACATACATATCATAATGGTATTTTTATTTTGGCCGCCGCATCCATCGGCGACCAATCGAAGTGTATCTATTCCCTCTAAGTTACTATTGTTTAAAGTGTAAAAGACGCAGCTTGCGATTTCGTTGGCGCCCTTGGCATGTTCATCTTCAGTCCACGTGAAAATTTTAACATTATCTTTTGTTAACGGAGCATGTGAGTGCCCCACTACAGTAGTGAAGTTGTAAATGTACAGTTGTCTACTATAATAGGTACTTTGATCTGGTATTTTGGGCAATACCAAGTTTTTCTGACAATCAAAAGAAATTGTCAGAAGGCCGTCCCGTTTCTCTTTTAGCTGTTCAAAAAATGCTTTGGCCCTGAGCTTATGTATTCGGTATTCTGTAGTTAGCACTGTTTTAATAGATGCAACCTTTTCATTTTTAATTTTTTCCCGGAGTTCAAGACACTTAGAGCAAACATCGGTGCTAGGAGATCCAAAGCCGATGTTGAAGGAAGTATTAAAAATAAATCGAAAGTAGCTTTCTTTCGTATATATCTCATTTTTGCCCAAAAATGGATTTAGGGGATATTGAAACCAGACAACTCAAATATAGGTTGAACAATGTGGGGCTTAGTCTTGATCACTGCGGAAGGCCCACGAATGCAATTCTAGGCCCTGTTATCTCTAAACCGGATCTCATATACACAAGTCAATTTTTTTATAACTTATTTGCAACATTCTGAGGTAATCCAAAGTCTGGCAACTTCTCTTCCACAATATAGAGGTTGTAACAGTTTTAAGATACTCAAATTTTAGTATTTTTTGCATTCTAAATGCGTAAATTAAAATTTATGAAAGTTGTTTTTGATAACGTTTTATTTGGAAAGTCATTGTCGCACTTAATTTTAAGTGAACCCACCTGCAACGATATAATCTCGATTACATTATAATTATAATCAATTTGTGGAGGTTAAAAACAACTTTTTATTTATAATTTTTTTTTATTAAGCAATATTTTTAATTCAATACTATAAAAATTACATTTTTTTTAATATTTGCTTAACAATGAGATGATACGTTTGTACATGTTATCAACAAGACCTTCAGCGAATAAGAAATCGATGTGGTTGAAGCTTTCATCGGGCATCAAATATTTGTAAACCAAGTTGGGTAATTCACCAGAAAGTTGGTCGACATCTTCAATTGCAGCCATGCTATCGCTAGTTGCATAGAACAAAGCGATTGGGCAGGTAATTTTGGAAATATCGTAAGATGGTGGGCTTACGTGTCCATATTCAACCAAGTTTTGTACTAATCCATAATCGAATTTGCTGAATTTACCAGTTTCGATTTCTTGGGCATAATGGACGAATTGTTTAAGAGAAGCACCGGCTGGGAGGTGAGTAGCAATAACGGGCATCATCCATTCATCAATATTTTCGGATGTACCAAAGATTTGGAAGAAAATGTTGTTGCATTGTTCGGATAAAGAGTTGTGACAAACGTCGCCCAAAATTTCAAGGATGGTCTCCATGTTGGGTAAGAATTCGTACATTCCAATAATATGGGCGATGGTTTCGATGGAATCGGCGTATGGAGCCAACCATTGCAAAAGAATATTATCCAAATGCGACATGTAAACAACTGGAGCCAAAGAAATATGCAATCTAATCTTGTCGTTATATTCTGGCCTATCAGCGGCGAGTACATAGAAAGACGTGGTTCCTTGGGAGTGACCAATATGGTATAAACTATCTTGACCGGTTGTTTCTAAGATGTAATCGATGGAGGTTGCTACATCAATGCTACCAATTTCGTGCCAACTAAACAAAATTAAATTGATCATAAATTATATCAAAAAAAATGATTTAAAAGAGTTTACCTGAAATCCCAGAAATCTTTTTTGTCTTCATCGGGGTCAAGGGTGGTGTGTTTTTTGGAATAAGTGGTTCCTCTTGCGTTTGGCATCCAAACATCATAACCTAAATCGGCTAAGATGAAAGCCAATCCATTTTCGGGTCCCATAGCAACCCAAATTCCAGAGCTGCACAACAAGCAGTGCATCAAAAGAATTGCTGGTTTGTCGGTTTCTTCGGCGTTATTCAAACCATGGGGAATTCTGTGTAAATCGAGGATATAACCATCTTTAGTTGTAACGCTGTGAATTTCAATTGGATATTCATATTTCTCAACTAATTCAATCTGAAAAATGATTTAATCAAATGAATCAAATTTTAACTTAATTTTTTTAATACATACCACATTTAATCCAGTATCAGGATGTAAATCCTTGGTGGTTGGAACAGCTGAGGAAGCTGCTACACACAACAAAACGAATGCAAAACGATACATCTTGACAATGCACCGAATAGTTTAGCGAATGGAAATATATATGTACCTCCCCCAACGGAGAATGAATGTTATCGTATAATAGGCCTTGATAAAGATCCACAAAAAAAGTCTTATCAAGCTTAAATTGAATTTTCTAGTATTTGTATATTTTTTTAGATACGTTAAAAAAAACGCAAAAATAATTTTAAATCGACTTTATTCAATGCACTCAGTACCAAAGTACACCTTTTCTTATCATTTCATTCACAAGTAGCTCTCCATTAGCTTCAAAACATCATCATAAAGCAACGTTTTAACATCTTTGGCCCACACGAAATCCAAATGGGAGAATTTGTCGTAAGGAATCAAGTGTTGATAAACCAAATTGGGAAGAAGAGGAATCAACTCTCCAACATCCTAAATTAAATTATCGGTAAATAATAAATTAATTTCATAAATAATAAACATCTTACAATTGGTGAAACCAACCAATCATTTTTAGCATAAAACAAAGCAACGGGGGATGTTATCTGCGATAAATCATAATCGGGAGGAAAAATCGATCCATATTGAACTAAATTTTGCACCATTCCAAAATCGTATTTTCTAAATTTTCCACTTGTAATTAATTGCGCGTAATGTAGTGATTGTCTCGTTGCAGCTCCAGCTGGGGCATTCGTCATAAAAACAGTTAACATATCCCGTTCGAGTTGGTCACTATCATATCCGGAAATCAAAAAGATCACATTTGCGCACATCTCAACCCATAAAGCGGTTTCTCGGCACATAATTTCTCCAATTAAGCCGTTAAGTTCAGAACTTGGTGAGAATTCGTACATCCCAAGATAAAAGGACCACCACTAAAATTATCAATTAAAACTAAATCTAAATTTATTAAATACATTACTTCAAGGTAGGGTTCATAAAGCGCTAAAAGCTTCAAGTATGGGTTGTAAGCGTTATCCATGAAAGCTGCTGGGCCTAATTGCACACTCAAAATGATTTTATCGTTATATTCTGGTCTTTCAGATGCCATAACGAAGAAGGATGTGGTTCCTTGGGAGTGGCCGATGTAGAAGAGTTTTTCTTGACCGGTTACTTCTAAGATGTAATCGATCATTGCGGGTAAATCGTAAGTTCCGATTTCATTCCAACTAAAAGACCAAAATGACATTTTTTGCCAATCGGGGTCATAATCGACGTGTTTTCTCGACCAAGTATTTCCCCGCGCATTTCCCATCCAAACATCGTACCCCGCATCTGCTAAAAGGAAGGCAATACTTCTTTCTGGACCTAAATTAACCCAATCTGCACTGCTACTCAAAACACCGTGCATGAGGAACACAACGGGTTTGTTAGTTTCGTTTGCGTTGTTCTTTCCATGCGGAATTCTATGTACATCCAAAAGATAACCGTCTTCAGTTTGTACATTTTGATGTTGTTCAATTGGATAACCATATTTCTCGATTAACTCAATCTATTTAATTTCATAATCGATAATAAATTATTTTTTAAGTTATTTGTTATCAACATACCACACTTAATCCAGTGTCGGGGTGAACATCTCTTTCTAGCTCTAAAGTAAAACCTGCTGATAAGGAGGCGCAAAATACACCGATTAGGAGGTACCACATGGTGCTAATTTGTGATTTTAACAATATGAATTTCCAATTTATACAGTGATATAATCACCTTAATAATTCTAAAAAAAATTGGGTACTTAAGATAAAGTATTTTTGCAAAAAATCAATAAACAAAGCCATTTATCGCTTTGTCAAGTTAATTGGTTTCAATTAAGATAATAAAATATAATCTGAAATTAATACAAGTACATCTTGATTGAAAAACAAATTTATTTCGGTTTAATATTGTCTCAATAAATCAAAAACGTAATTATACGCCAAAGGAATCACGTCGATGGCCCACAAGAAATCGAGATGATTAAACTTGTCGAAAGGAATCAAATATTGATAAACCATATTGGGGAGTTGTTTTGCAAATTTATCCACATCAACAGTAGCAGCTAACCAATCATTTTTGGCATAAAACAACGCAACTTTCGCTGTAATCTTATCTATATTATAAGATGGAGGTGAAACTGAACCATATTTAATTAAATTTTGAATCAAACCGAAATCGTATTTTCTAAATTCCCCAGAATTTATTTCTTGGGCATAATGAAGGAATTGTCGCGTTGCGGCTCCCGCTGGGGTATTCGTCATAATAACCGGAATCATGGTTCGGTTTAATTGTTCTGAGTCAAATCCGCCGATTAAAAAGATGACTCCGGCACAAACTTCTTGGAAAATCGCACCGTCTTTACAAAAAACTTTTCCAATCGATCCCAAAAATTCGGTGTTTGGTAAAAATTCGTGGATCCCAATCAATTTTGCGAGAAACTAAAATTAATTAATATAAATATAATAACCCCAATTTAATGTATTTATATTTTACAAACCTCTAAAGTATCATCGAAAGCCGCCAAAAATCTTAATAAAGGATTTTCCATGTTTTCCATATAAGCGATTGGTGCTAAAGCGACCATTACGCGAATTTTGTTGTTATAAGCTGGTTTTTCCGAACACATTACATAAAAACTCGTTGTTCCTTGAGAGTGTCCTATATAATAAAGATTTTCTTGTCTTGTGTAACTCAAAACGTAATCGATCATCGCTGGTAAATCATATTCCCCAATTTCGTTCCAACTAAAAATTGATTAATTAATTAACTTTTTGCATTCATTTTTATAAAGTCGTACGAAAATTCCCAAAAATCAGCTTTGTCTTCTACAGGGTCTAAAGAAATGTGTTTTCTCGACCAAGTTGTTCCTCGAGCGTTACCCATCCAAACGTCATAACCCAAATCGGCTAATAAGAATGCTAAACTTTTTTCTGGGCCCATGTTAACCCAATCAGCGGCGCTACAAATGATGCCGTGCATTAAAAACACAACAGGTTTATTTTCAGCTGGTCCTGATTTTAATCCGTAAGGAATTCTTTGCATTTCTAAAAGGTAACCATCTTCGGTTTTGATGTTACCATGGCTTTCAACGGGGTATTTATATCTTTGGATCAACTCAACCTAACAATGGCTACATAAAAAAATAATCAAAAAAAATTTGTTTATACTTACGACGTTTAACCCAACATCAGGGTGAAGATCATCGAAAAGATCCTGGTCTATTGGTTGTGCGAAAGCACAACTCGTAGATATAATTAGCAATAAAATGACTGCAAGCATTTTTTTGATATACTCATATTGTATCAGATTTGCAAACATATTTATACCTCACCGAAGATGTTATCGTATACTTTCATATCTAAAGATAGAAGAATTAAGATTAACAGTTTATTATTGTACGTTTTTAATAAATTTCCATGATGATTTTACATCATGCATTTTATGTTTGATTTCGACTCTTTATCTATATTTGTTCATGTTGCTAATTATAACTGATGGAATAAAATGTTTCATACAAAATTGATTTACAATTAGCCAATAAAACATATTCAATAAGCAATTTTAATTCATCGATGAGTTACTTTTCAAGTATTTCAACAAATTTCTGCTATAACTCAATAATTATAACTGATGGAATAAAACGTTTTATACAAAAATAATTTAGAATTAGCCTATAAAATATATCCAATAAGCAGTTTTAATCCATCGATCAGTAGTACCAACCTCAACCCTAATAATTCAAAATTTTCAAGTATTTCAACAAATTTCTGCTATAACTCAATAATTATGACTGATGGAATAAAACGTTTCATACAAAAAAGCTTTAGAATTCGCCTATATAACATATCCAGCAAACAGTTTTAATCCATCGATCAGTTGTACCAACCTCAAGCCTGATAATTAAAAGTTTTCAAGTATTTCAACAAATTTCTTCTATAACTCAATAATTATAACTGATGGAATAAAACGTTTCTTACAAAAAAGCTTTAGAATTCGCCTATATAACATATCCAGCAAACAGTTTTAATCCATTGATCAGTTGTACCAACCTCAAGCCTGATAATTAAAAGTTTTCAAGTATTTCAACAAATTTCTTCTATAACTCAATAATTATAACTGATGGAATAAAACGTTTCTTACAAAAAAGCTTTAGAATTCGCCTATATAACATATCCAGCAAACAGTTTTAATCCATTGATCAGTTGTACCAACCTCAAGCCTGATAATTAAAAGTTTTCAAGTATTTCAACAAATTTCTTCTATAACTCAATAATTATAACTGATGGAATAAAACGTTTCTTACAAAAATGATGCAGAATTATCCTATAAAACATATCCAACAAGCAATTTTAATCCACCGATCAGTTGTACCAATCTCAACCTCAACAATTAAGAATTTTCAAGTATTTCAACAAGTTTCTTCTATAACTCAATAATTATAACTGATGGAGCAAAACGTTTCATACAAAAAGAGTTTAGAATTAGCCTATAAAATATATCCAATAAACAGTTTTAATCCATCGATCAGTAGTACCAACCTCAACCCGAATAATTAAAAATTACAAGTATTTCAAAAAATGTCTGCTATAACTCAATAATTATAACTGATGGAATAAAACGTTTCATACAAAAAAGTTTTAGAATTAGCCTATGTAACATATCCAGCAAACAGTGTTAATCCATCGATCAGTTGTACCAACCTCAACCCTGATAATTAAAAGTTTTCAGTATTTCAAAAATTTCTTCTATAACTCAATAATTATAACTGATGGAATAAAACATTTCGTACAAAAATGATGCAGAATTATCCTATAAAACACATCCAACATGCAATTTTAATCCACCGATCAGTAGTACCAACCTCAACCCTAATAATTAAAATTTTCAAGTATTTCAACAAATATCTTCTATAACTCAATAATTATAACTGATGGAACAAAATGTTTCATACAAAAAAGCTTTAGAATTAGCCTATATAACATATCCAGCAAACAGTTTTAATCCATCGATCAGTTGTACCAACCTCAACCCTGATAATTAAAAGTTTTCAAGTATTGCAACAAATTTCTTCTATAATTCAATAATTATAACTGATGGAATAAAACGTCTCATACAAAAAAGCTTTAGAATTAGCCTATATAACATATCCAATAAACAGTTTTAATCCATCGATCAGTTGTACCAACCTCACCCGTGATAATTAAAAGTTTTCAAGTATTTCAACAAATTTCTTCTATAATTCAATAATTATAACTGATGGAATAAAACCTTTCATACAAAAAAGCTTTAGAATTAGCCTATATAACATATCCAACAAACAGTTTTAATCCATCGATCAGTTGTACCAACCTCAACCCTAATAATTAAATTTTTCAAGTATTTCAACAAATTTCTGCTATAATTCAATAATTATAACTGATGGAATAAAACGTTTCGTACAAAAAAGATGCAGAATTATCCTAAAAAACATATCCAACAAGCAATTTTAATCCACCGATCAGTAGCACCAACCTCAACCCTAATAATTAAATTTTTCAACTATTTCAACAAATATCTTCTATAACTCAATAATTATAACTGATGCAATAAAACGTTTCATACAAAAAAGCTTTAGAATTAGCCTATGTAACATATCCAGCAAACAGTTTTAATCCATCGATCAGTAGTACCAACCTCAACCCTAATAATTAAATTTTTCAAGTATTTAAAAAATTTCTTCTATAACTCAATAATTATAACTGATGGAATAAAACGTTTCAGACAAAAAAGCTTTAGAATTAGCCTATATAACATATACAGCAAACAGTTTTAATCCATCTATCAGTTGTACCAACCTCAACCCTGATAATTAAAAGTTTTCAAGTATTTTAAAAGTTTCTTCTATAACTCAATAATTATAACTGATGGAATAAATCGTCTCATACAAAAAAACTTTAGAATTGGTCTATATAACATATCCAACAAGCACTTATAATCCATCGATCAGTAGTACCAACCTCAACCCTAATAATTAAAAGTTTTCAAGTATTTCAAAAATTTCTTCTAGAACTCAATAATTATAACTGATGGAATAAAACGTTTCATACAAAAAAGCTTTACAATTAGCCTATGTAACATATCCAGCAAACAGTTTTAATCCATCGATCAGTTGTACCAACCTCAACACTGATAATTAAAAGTTTTCAAGTATTTCAACAAATTTCTTTTATAATTCAATAATTCTAACTGATGGAATAAAACGTTTCATACAAAAAACCTTTAGAATTAGCCTATATAACATATCCAGCAAACAGTTTTAATGCATCGATCAGTAGTACCAACCTCAACCCTAATAATTAAAATTTTGAAGTATTTTAACAAGTTTCTTCTATAACTCAATAATTATAACTGATGGAATAAAACATTTCATACAAAAAAGCTTTACAATTAGCCTACAAATCATATCCAGTAAGAAGTTTTAATCCATCGATCAGTAGTACCAACCTAAACCGCAATAATTAAAATTTTCAAAATAAACTAAAATTATTGATGAAATTATTTTTAATAATTATTTAATATTTCTACAACATGTTCATTAACTCGTTCTGTAACATCTTGAGCGAAAATAAAATCACCATGGGCGTATCCTTCGACGAGTTTTTCGAAAACCACATTGGGAAGTTCTCTAAGTAATTGTTCAACATCCTATAAGTCAATAAAAAAAATAATTGAAATTATCTAAAAGTAAACTGAAAGAAACNTATAACATATCCAACAAACAGTTTTAATCCATCGATCAGTAGTACCAACCTCAACCCTAATAATTAAGATTTTCAAGTATTTCAACAAATATCTTCTATAATTCAATAATTATAATTTTCAAGTATTTCAACAAATATCTTCTATAATTCAATAATTATAACTGATGAAATAAAACGTTTCATACAAAAAAGCTTTAGAATTAGCCTATAAAACATATCCAATAAACGGTTTTAATCCATCGATCGCTAGAACCAACCTTAACCCCAATAATTAAAAATTTTCAATTATTTCAACAATTTCTTCTATAACGCAATAACTATAACTTATGGAATAATACGTTTAATATAAAAAATCTTTAGAATTAGCCTACAAAACTTATCCAATAAGAAATTTTAATCCATCGATCAGTAATACCAACCTTAACCCTAATAATTAAAAGTTTTCAAATTAAACTAAAATTATGAATGAAATTATCTTTAATAATTATTTAATATTTCTACAACATGCTCATTAACTCTTTCTGTAACATCTTGAGCGAAAATAAAATCACCATGGGCGTATCCTTCGACGAGTTTTTCAAAAACCACATTGGGAAGTTCTCTAAGTAATTGTTCAACATCCTATAAGTCAATAAAAAAAATAATTGAAATTATCTAAAAGTAAACTGAAAGAAACTAAAAATTACCACAACATTAGCGTTGCTATCTTTATCTCCATATAAGAAAGCAGTTGGTGCAGTGATTTGGCCCAAATCATATTTTGGAGGGGTTACAGAACCATATTCAGCTAAATTGCCAACTAATCCGAAATCAAAACGACGGAAAAATCCTACAAATATAATCATAAAAAACAAGAATACTTAATAAATTTGATTCAAAACGAAACCTGATTGGATTCCTTGACCATAATGAACCCATTGTTTTGAAGAAGCGCCAGCAGGTAAATGGGTAGCAAAAACTGGCCCCCAATTCTACGTAAATAATACAACATTATCTTATTTATTATTTCAAAATAACTTACATCATCCATATCTTCACTAGTTTGTCCAAATATCAAAAAGAAAATGTTATCACAAAGTTGTTGTCCACTTCCTTTGCACCATTCCATTAAAGGTCCCATTAATTCATAATTTGGTACAAATTCATGCCAACCAATCATGTCGAGTAACTCATTTAAAGCGTCTATATATTCCGAAAGATATCGTAAGAAGGAATCGGTCATATTCCCCATATAACCAATAGGTGCTAAAGAAATTGCAACGTTAATTTTATCATTATATTCTGGTCGTGATGATGCCAAAACGTAAAAAGTAGTTGTTCCTTGAGAATAACCAAGATAAGACATTTTCTCAACACCGGTTTGTTCTTGGATGTAATCTATAAAAGCTGGAATGTCGTAATAACCAATTTCATGCCAACTAAATTTCCAAAATTGATCGGCATCATCTTCAGGGTCTAAAGTAATGTGTTTCTTTGAAAATTGTGTTCCTCTGGCACTCGGCATCCAAACATCGTATCCTTGATCAGCCAAAATAAAAGCAAGCCCATTCTCTGGTCCATAAACCGCATAAACTGCTCCACTACACATTAAGCAATGCATTAGTAAAACTACTTTTTTATCTTTTTGATCGCCATTCGATTTTCCGTGTGGGATTCTATGCATTGTTAATAAATAACCATCTTCAGTTTGGATATCTTCATGTACTTCGATTGGGTAACCATAAAATTCGACCATATCTACCTAGGAATAGAATAATTGTTTACTCTTGATTAATTTATTAAATTAATGATACCAACAAAACTTAAACCAGCAGCTGGATGAATGTCTTTCGTTACGTTGGCATTGGATAGAGCCAAAAAGGCCAAAATCAAAAAAGTTGCGATCTTCATTTTTACGAAGAGACTGAAGATCCCGATTAATTAAAGTGGCTTATTTATAGTCGAAAAAGTCTTATCTGAATACTTACTTTTTTTAGGAGTAGTATTTTTGAATAAGATCTACTCAAGATACCAATTATTTATCTTTCATAAAAAATAATTTATGTTCTAAGATATTTTTTTATTGAATTAAATACATATAATAAATAAACATTATAATAAATTAATATTGTGCAAGTAAATCAAATACTGACTCGTATAATAATGGAACAACATCAATTGCCCATAAAAAGTCCAAATGATTAAACTTATCAAAAGGCACCAAATATTGTTTTACTACATTAGGAAGTTTTTTAGCCAGCTTTTCAACATCAACCACGCTAGCTAACCAGTCGTTTTTGCCATAAAACAACGCAACAGGTGCTTCGATATTATTGAGACCATAACTTGGAGGTTTTCTTGAACCATATTTAACCAAATTTTCGACCAAACCAAAATCGTATTTTCTAAATTGAAAAGTTGTAACTCCTTGGGCGTAGTGAACGAATTGTTTAACCGAAGCCCCCGCGGGAGTGTTGCTCATCATAACAGGAATAAGCGTTCTGTTTAATTGTTGAGAATCAAACCCTCCTATTAAGAAGATAATTCCAGCGCACATCTCTTGAAATATAGCACCATCCCTGCAAAAAATTGAACCTATTGTTTCTAAACCTTGTTGACTCGGCATAAATTCATAGATTCCTATTAAACCAGCTAGAACCTCTAAAACTCCCTCTAATGGTGATAAAACTTGCAAAAATGGATTTGTGGCGTGAGACATGTACGCAACGGGAGCTAAAGCTACCATAAGTCGAATTTTTTTGTTGTATTCAGGTCTTTCGGAGCCCATAACAAAAAAGGATGTTGTTCCTTGGGAATGACCAATGTAGTATAAACTATTTTGGTTTGTTACTTCCAAAATATAATCTATCATTGCTGGTAAATCATACATTCCAATTTCATTCCATCTTAAATAAAAAGATTTTATGAATAAAATGGCAAAAAAATTTAAAAAAAATTTACGAAAATGCCCAAAACTTTCTTTGATCAAAAAAACCATCAGGGTTTAATGAGACGTGTTTTCGCGACCAAGTGTTGCCTCTTGCGTTTCCCATCCACACGTCGTACCCCATATCGGCTAAAAGAAATCCTAAACTTTTTTCTGGACCCATATTAATCCAATCTGCCGATGAGCTTAAAAGACCATGCATCAAAAAAATAACAGGTTTATTTTCTGCGGGACCATTTTTTAACCCATAAGGAATTCTGTGGATTTCTAAAAGATACCCATCATCTGTTTGGATATCCCTATGTCTTTCAACAGGATAATTATATTTTTCTATTAATTCGAGCTAAAAAGAAATGATTAACTCAAAATTAACACCAAAAAAATATACTTACCACATTTAACCCAACGTCGGGATGTTGCGTTTTTGGTAATTCTTGGTCAGAATAAGATACTGATTCTAAAGAAAGAATGTGTGGTGCAAATAGTATAATTAAAGTTATTGCGATCATTTTGAACTAATAAATGCAGGTTTAGCTCGAGTTTATATATCCACAAAGTGAAATGTGCAAATTTTACGAAATAGTTTATGAATCTTATCTGATATTATATTTTGTTACTAAATGCTTACAAATAAGACCATAAAATTTAGCAACTGAGAATTATTTAAGATAACTTTTAATTTTATTATTAAAAATAATCACACGTGTTGTTTTCAAAATATATTTTTATTAAGATATATTATTTATATACATATATATATGATCTACTTCGAGAGAAAACCCTTTCACCCTGTATTTTGACATTTTGAAATTAAGCTTAAAATGTAAAAAATGTTATATCTAATAATTTTTATAATTCAACCCAACATGTTTCATACATCATTTTAAAGAGAAATGTTTCAGCTTTAATTTGATACCAAAATCATTTCTTAATTTCCATAATTAACCCTTCCACAGTTTTTTAAGTTTCACCTTGTATTTTGACATTTTGAAATTAAGCTTAAAATGTAAAAAATGTTATATCTAATAATTTTTATAATTCAACCCTACATGTTTCATACATCATTTTAAAGAGAAATGTTTCAGCTTTAATTTGATACCAAAATCATTTCTTAATTTCCATAATTAACCCTTCCACAATTTTTTAAGTTTCACCTTGTATTTTGACATTTTGAAATTAAGCTTAAAATGTAAAAAATGTTATATCTAATAATTTTTATAATTCAACCCTACATGTTTCATACATCACTTTAAAGAGGAATGTTTCAACTTTAATTTGGTACTAGAATCATTTCTTAATTTCCATAATTAACACTTCTACAGTTTTTTAAGTTTCACCTTGTATTTTGACATTTTGAAATTAAGCTTAAAATTTAAAAAAAAACATTCCACCTTTTTGCCCAATCTCTTTCTTATCTTGCCAGACTCTATATAGTCTTTTGCTTCTGTTAACAATTTCTTTTTCATGTTCCGCCCTTCTGCCTAATCTTTCTTTTGTATTTCCCATCTCTCTTCAGCCTCTTTCTTTTTGCCAAACTTCCTCATATCTGGTTCTCCAAGAGATCATTTTATTTTTTTTTTTAGAAATCTAACTACGTAATTTAAATATATTTCTAATTAATAAACATTTTTCTTTATAATAAATTTATATTAACATTTTAATACATTCAGACAACATTTTAAATTTTAATACTTGCTCATTAAATCAATAATATCATTATAAACTAATTCAACAACATTCTCTGATAACAAGAAATCAACGTGTGTAAAACTGGGATCGGGAACTAAATAATTTTTGGCCAAGTTTGGAAGTTCATTAGCTAAACGTTGCACATCAACAATAGCTGCAAAACTATCGCTAGCAGCATAATATAAAGCGACAGGTGCTGTGATCGCTCTCGTATTATAATCGGGAGGTGTTATTTGGCCGTAATGAATTAAATTTCTAATCATTCCAAAATCGAATTGTCTAAAATGTCCTGATATGATTTCTTGGCCATAATGTACAAATTGTTCTTTCGATGATCCAGCTGGAACGTGAGTTGCGAAAACGGGAACCATATTTTCTTCCATTTGAGTAGAGTCTTGGCCAAAAATTAAAAACCAGGCGTTTTCACAAATTCCTTCTAACGGTGAATTATCAGAACAAACTGCTGCTAATTCGTCAAAGAAAGGCATATTTGGTGCAAATTCATGCCACCCAATAATATCGGCTATTACATCTAATTCATCTACGTATTCAGCTAATAATCTTATAAATTCATTAGTTAAATTAGGCATATAAGCAATCGGGGCTAATGTAACGGCTAATCTTATTTTATTGTTATACTCAGGTCTTTCAGCTGCCATAACATAAAAAGTTGTTGTACCTTGTGAATGACCAACATAAAATAATTTCTCTTCCCCCGTTTTTGCCAAAATATAATCGATTGATACCGGAACATCGTAAACAGCTATTTCATGCCAACTAAACCTCCAAAATTCATCTTTATCGACGTCGGGATCTAATGTTATATGTTTTCTTGACCACATATTTCCTCTTGCATTCGGCATCCAAACATCATACCCCAAATCAGCTAGCATAAAAGCCAATCCTTTTTCTGGCCCATAAGCCGCCCATAATCCAGAGCTACAAGTCAAGCAGTGCATTAAAAGAGCCACTGGGCGATTAGGAGTTGCTGAATTATTTCTTCCATGTGGAATTCTATGAAGTTGAAGTAAATAACCGTCTTCGGTTTGGATGTTATCGTGAATTTCGAACGGATAACCATGTCTTGCAGCTAATTCCATCTTTAAATTAATTAAGTTAAAATAAATATAAATCAATTAAGTGAAACTTACGATATTTAACCCAGTATCTGGATGGAGAGATTTTTCTTTTGGAAAGGCTAAAGCCACACCAAAAAGTAAAAAGACCAGAATGTGCTTCATTATTGAGATAAAATATAAATTAAAAAAATTGTTTTGGACCCCTTTTTATAGAACCATGAAATTTATCATAATCTTAAAGTGGTTTAATTTTAGTATTATTTAAGATAATCTAATTTGGGATTTGATACAAATCAATGTGGAAATTAAATGAAACAAGTCTCAAAACATTTCGATTTTTTATTAATTATTAACTTCGTTGAGTACCACAACAAGATCGTTATAAACATCTTCAACGACTGTTGGGCTGAAAACAAAATCGGTATGTCCGTATCCAACGATGAATTTTGTGTAGATTACGTTGGGGAGTTCCCCCAAGAGTTTTTCAACATCCTAATAACAAAATTAATGTTTGAATTGGTTAACATTAAATATAATTAACTTACAACAACAGCAGCATTAGTGTCTTTATCGCTATAAAAGAAAGCTGTTGGAGCGGTAATTTGAGTCACATCGTAAATTGGTGGGGTTGAAGTTCCATATTCATCTAAATTTCCAACAACTCCGTAATCATAATTGCGGAAAAATCCTAAAATTAATTTAATTTTAATCGTAAAATTGATTTATTAAGATTTAATTTATGTTTACCAGAAACGATTTCCTGTCCATAATGGACAAATTGTCTGGATGATGCCCCTGCGGGTAAATGAGTTGCAAAAACTGGGAACCAACTCTATCATAAAAAAAGGAATTAGAAAAACAATAATATTAAAAAAAAAAATTTTACATCTTCCATTTGAGTGGCGTTTTGTCCGAATAACAACAAAAAGATGTTTTCACAAAAAGCTTGTCCAATTCCGTTGCAAAATTCAACAATCGTTCCTAAAATCTCATAATTTGGAACAAATTCGTACCATCCAAGCATGTTGAATAAAACTTCTAAAGCGTCAACGTATTCAGCTAAATAAGTGAATAAGATATGAGTTACATTTTCCATATAGGCGACCGGTGCCAAAGAAATCGCGATATTAAATTTATCGTTGTACTCAGGTTTCGAAGAGGTCATAACATAAAAGCTGGTTGTTCCTTGAGAATAACCCACGTAAGACATTTTCTCAACTCCGGTTTGTTCTTGGATATAATCGATTGAAGTTGGGAGATCAATACTTCCAATTTGATGCCAACTAAATTTCCAAAATTCAGCTGCGTCTTCTACGGGGTCTAACGAAACGTGTTTCTTTGAAAATTGAGTTCCCCTTGCATTCGGCATCCAAACATCGTATCCTTGATCAGCTAATATAAAAGCTAATCCATTTTCAGGACCATAAGTGGCATAAACAGCTGCGCTGCACATTAAGCAATGCATCAAAACGACCACCGGCTTATTTGTTTCTTCGGCATTATTCAAACCGTGAGGAATTCTGTGTAAAGTCAATAAATAACCATCGGATGTCTCAACATTTTCGTGAACTTCAATCGGATAACCATAAAATTGAACCAATTCCTCCTAATTATTTCGTTTTTAAATTAATTGAGTTATTTTTGTATTCAAAAACTTACCAAAGTTAATCCAGCGGCTGGGTGAAGATCTTTATTACCATGGACGTTCGAGAAGGCCAAAACGGCCAATAATATTAAGTGTAGTTTCATAGTTGAGAAAAGTTTGAAACTAAAATTGATTGAAAATCGCACTATTTAAAGGAGAAAAACATCTTAATTTTATAATCTTATCTTCTTAAAATCTTTAGATTTCTTGTTTTAAAAGGTTTCTTGTTTATTTTCGCACAAAATACATCGAAAAGTTAAGTAAGTGTTATATAATTTTCACTCGAAAAGTTGATAACACTAAGTGTGCCTTAAAAGCATTTTGAAACTGTCAACAAAAACTTAATAACCTTTTAATGTTTCGCCCTGTTTTTAAATTTGAAGATTAAGATGTTATGTATACAGGGTGTTTAATAATATATGCGCAGGATTTCAGGGTGTGATAGTTTGTCCAACAATTTCTATCAATTTACCCTCTAAAGTGCACCATTTTCGAGATCCAGGGTGTTGAAATTTAATAAAAAAATCGTTTTTTGCGAATATTTCCGGAACCAGAGTATCGAAAACAGCGTTTGTAAGCATTTTCTACTCATAATAAGCTAAGTTTTGTGCGAGAAAAAAATTTGTTAGTGGTTGTTTTTCTCCCTAACTTCTACGCCACTGGAAAAAGTATGCTTTTGAGACGCCCATTTGAACCGTCAATGTTTTCTACACAAAAAAGGTACTGAAAAATCAACTTTTATGTTGAATAACATGGTCAATTTTTGAAATAATAATTTTATTTTACTAAAACAAGAACTTAGAACAAGTAACAAAACATACATAGTTAAATTAAATGTTGGAAATGTCCACCGTTAGCTTCAATGCATGCAGCAATTCTTCGACGCATTGACTGTCTAACACGCAGGAAAATTCCCGGAGTGTTCCGAATTGTGTCGTAAGATACAATAATGCGCTCTCTTAATTGGTCAACATTTTCAACTGGATTAGCGTAGACTAGGGTTTTTCAGATGGCCCCAAAAGAAAAAATCTAAACAATTAAGTTCAGGAAATCGCGGTGGCCAAGGGTGCGGACTTCCTCGACCGATCCAACGGTCTGGGTATTCGTCGTCCAACTATTGGCGAGCAACCAAACTGAAAGGGCCGGAGCTCCATCATGCATAAAGTACATGTTTTGTCTTACTTGAAGCGGTACATCTTCCAGCAGTTCCGGCAGTACTTCTTCTAGAAATTGTCGATAATCTGCACCGTTTAATCTGTTCGGCAAAAAATGTGCCTGTCAAATGATCACCGACGATGGCAGCCCAAACATTTACGGAAAATTGTTGCTGATGATGGTCTTCTGCAATTTCATGTGGATTTTCTTCTGCCAAATGTGGTTATTGTGAAAATTGAAAATACCATCCTTCGGAAAAAGATGCTTCATCAGTAAACAGAACTTTGAAACTCAGAATTTTGAGCTATTTTGTCTTGCATCCATGTACAAAAAGCTAATCTTGGCCGAAAATCTCTTCGCAATAAGGCTTGTATTCTTTGGATATGGTAGGGATACAAAAGTTGCCTTTTTAAAATTCTCCAAACAGTCGAGTGAGATAGGTTTAAATTGTGAGCAATTTTTCTGGTACTTGTAGTCGGATTTTCATCAATTTCGTTGAGGGCAGCCTCTTCTAAAAGTAAACAAAAACCAACAAAAGGGAGAAAATAAAAATTAACAAAAAATAAACTAATAACAACAACAAAATGCAATTTTTTGGCAAAATTTATGCGACAAATACCGAGTAAAACGCTTCTGGACTTGTTCCAGGCGGTCGATGTAGGTATGATATTGAGGGTTCCAAACGGCAGATGCGTAATTAAAGACAGAGGGAACAAACAAGAATATAGTGAACGAATACAGGACAGATTAGAAAAAGGACGGGATATGCGACATATAAATCCGAGCATGTGAGAGGTCTTGTTAACAATATAGTCAATATGAGCCGAAAAAGAGAGTTTAGAGTCAAACATAATAACATAAACAACACAAGGTAAACATAACTCCAAGGTCTCTCACGCATTCGGATTGTTTGAGGATAGTTGAGCCAAGGGAGTAATCACAGATTTGCGAGTAAATGTAATTTTGCTGCATTTATCAAGGTTTAAGAACAAGTTATTTCTTAATCAATATTCATGTAACCTGTTTAAATCGTTTTGCAGTTTTGCACAGTAGTCGGTAGAACAGATGCGGCTAAATATCTTGCTATCATCAGCGTAAAGGAGAAAATTTGAATGATGAAGCATGCATGACTACCCTGAGCGATGCCAGAAGAAATATCTCTAAATGCAGAGCGGTAATTACTTATGCTAACAGACTGCGATCTGCCGGAGATGTAAGATAAAATCCAGGAAATTAAACCAGTTGGAATGTAAAAATTAGTAAGTTTAGTTAAAAGGATCCCATGATCAATTCTATCAAACGTCTTGATATAATCGGTGTATATGGGGTCTACCTGGAAATTGTCATCAAGAGAGCTTAGTAAAAAATTGGAATAACAGATTAGATTAGATTCCACTGACTTGCCTCGGTAGAAGCCATGCTGTTCAGGGATTATAGATGATTTTACACTATACATAATAAGATCGTAAACAAGACGTTCAAAGACTTTAGAAGCCATTGAGAGAATAGAGATAGGTCTGTAGTTGCAAAACTAAATCACATTCGCCACTTTTATGTACAGGGAGTATTAGGGCTTTCTTCCATTCAGATGGGAAAGTGGCAGTATAGAGAGAAGTTTTGAAGATATATAATAACGGTTCGGTGAGCTCCAAAGAGCACTCACGAAAGAACAAGCCGGGCATAAATCAGTGCATGAGATCCAGATTGAATCGCTGGCAGGTCGCCATCCAGAGAGCCATCAACAAAAACAGAACCAAAATAGAGAGACTTAGTATAAGACCAAAGAGCGTTAGGGTTGACACACATATTAGACTCTGTGACGTCAAGAAAAGTCCTATAATCGGCTGTGATTAATGTTTTAGTGCGAGCTCTGAGCAAGCGAAACGTTTCATAATAATTATTGCAACCTCCACTTTTTATGATATTTTAGCTTTTCTTTAATGGCTTTGATAGTAGACAGCGAATACCATGATGGAAATCTACGTTTATGAACAGTTCGATGAGGAACATGCTCGTCACCACAGATAATTGAGTAAAACATATCAACCGCTCCATCAACCGATAAGATGCCAATGACACCATCAAACCCCGATAGTCGGCCTTATGGAGGAGATATTTATGCAAGCAATTTTCCCGAAGGGGGCGCAAGGAAGAACAATTGATGGAAAGTGCTAAAGATAGACTGAGTGATATCCGTCACGATGAAGGAGTTACTCAGTACCAGGTCCAAGATTCTGTCATTAGCATTACGCTGTTGAACTGCTCTAAATTACAGTAAGATAACGAGCTTGAAAATAATCTGGAACGCCTATCATTTGCAGATGATGGGAGTAAAGACAGTGAATCAGACGGATTCCAGGATATGTATGGAAGGTTAAAGTCTCCGGATATGAGATTCCTGTGATCTGGGTATCCTATTCCACACTGCACAGATAACCACAGATCCTCGGCGTTTGAGGACAGAGCAATTCTGGAACATACAATGTTTGATCTACTTAATAAGAACACCTCCACCGCCAGATTTTGTAGAAAAAGTTGATTCACGATCTCTTCGAAAAACATTATATTGGGTATTAAATAATTCGCCATCATTAATTGAGTTATTCAAAAACGTTTCTGTGAGACATATGATGTCGAATTCAGAGTCGCTGAAAAAAATAAAGTGTTGGTTTTCAATCGTAAACCACGTACATTCTGGTAATAAACATCAAGTCGCAGCAGTTCGTGTCAAGCTTATCAAGATCTGAAGCTGATTTGATGGGGATCGCTTTAGATTTGTCGTTGCGAGGAACAAAGATGGCGCCCTGCAACACCCAATGGTCTTTAAATCCTTCAAGAGCTGCTTATTATCAGGTGAAAGGTGCTCGTTAATAAATATACTCGTTGATAAAGCAGGAATTGCGATGCTAGGCGTCGTGTGATCGCGTTTTTTCGCAGACTTTGCAGCGGCAAGAAATCTGCCGTGATAAAAAGCGCACAATAATATTTCGTGGACGACGCACACTAGCATCCCCTGCTGCAAACTGGCTCTGAACGCGATGGGCAACGTCCTCATCTGCAGGAGACAAAGGTACTCCGATAGCAGAACCGATAGACTGTACGATGGCTGTAACGTTTTCAGTAGTAGTCTCTGGAACGCCCTGAAATTCAAGGTGGATAGTCGAGAGTGCTGTTCGAGAGCGTTAATCCTCTGCCGTAAGTCGCAACGAGACTGCAAGTCAACGATCACCTTTTCATCATCAGTGAATCGGCTACAAGGTGTGGCATTCTTCTCATTCAGTGCCTGCAGCTGATTACATATGACCAAGAGCGTGTCATGATTAGCGGACTGAGACAAAAAGTTCGCAGCCGTCGCGACGGAAATCGCCTCAGGATCATCAACCACCAAGACCGACGAATTTCTCAGTCCGCATAGCGCCACGAAGAACTTTCTGTACGATAAACAGTTCCGGAGATATTCGCAAAAAACGATTTTTTTATTAAATTTCAACGCCCTGTATCTCGAAAATGGTGCATTTTAGAGGGTAAGTTGATAGAAACCTTTCTTCAAATTTTTGAACAATCCTGAAGTCTTGCGCATATATTATGAAACACCCTGTATATCAAATTAAAGCTTAAGATGTGCTTTTTTAAGGGATATATAACATCCTGTGATTTCATTTTAAATTTCGTTTGAAAATGTTTATTTAGGAAAATCTTGCAGAACAGAAATTTAATTTAATCTGTCAAAACATAATTAGATTGATTAAAATCGATAACGTTGAGTGTGTTTTAAAATCATTTTATTTCTTCATTATATAGTAAATAAAATTATCTTTAATAGTTATCTAATATATCTAGAACGAGTTCTTTAACAACAATTGTAGCATTTTCAATGAAAACAAAATCCCCATGGCCATATCCTTCCATGAGTCTTTCAAAAACCACATTGGGAAGTTCGCTAAGCATTTGCGCAACGTCCTAAAATTAAAAGAAACAATTAAAATGATTTAAATAAAAAAATTGGAAGAAATTATTTACATCAACGTGAGCGAAAGAATCTTTATCTCCATACAAGAAAGCTGTTGGTGCGGTGATCTTGCTTAAATCGTAATTTGGAGGAGTTGCATTACCATATTCGGCTAAATTACCGACCAATCCAAAATCAAATCGGCGGAAAAATCCTTCAAAAAAAATGTTAAATTAAAAAAATAATAAAATTAATTTAATAAACCTGATTGGATTTCTTGTCCATAATGAACCCATTGTTTTGCAGCAGAACCAGCGGGTAAATGGGTCAAAATAACCGGTGTCAAATTCTAATCAAACAAAAAAAAATTATTTCGTCGTATAAATACAACTCAAAAATCTTACATCATCCAAATCAGAAATACTTTGTCCTAATATCAATGAGAAAGCATCATCGCAAAGTTGTTGCCCACTTCCTTGACACCATTTAATTAAAGGTCCCATCAATTCATAATTTGGTAAAAGTTCATGCCAACCGAGCATTTCAGAAAATTCATTCAAAGCGTCAATATGTTCCGAAAGATACACCAAAAACGATTCGGTCATATGTGACATATAACCAATGGGTGCCAAAGAAATTGCAACACTAATTTTATCATTATATTCAGGTCTTGAAGACGCCATAACGTAAAATGAAGTTGTTCCTTGGGAATATCCAATATACGACATCTTTTCAACACCGGTTTTTGCTTGAATGTAATCGATAGAAGCAGGAACGTCGTAATAACCAATTTCGTGCCAACTAAATCTCCAAAATTTATCAGCATCATCTTGGGGGTCTAAAGTGATGTGTTTCTTTGAAAAAACGTTTCCTCTAGCGTTAGGCATCCAAACGTCGTATCCTTGATCAGCCAAAATAAAAGCAAGGCTACGTTCTGGTCCATTAAGTGCGTAAACAGCTGAACTACACACTAAACAATGCATCAATAAAGCGACTTTTTTATCTTTTTGATCACCGTTGGATTTTCCATGGGGAATTCTATGCATCGTTAATAAATAGCCATCTTCAGTTTGGATGTCTGCATGTACCTCAATTGGGTAACCATAATATTGCACCAACTCCACCTAAATAAATAAAAAGTTATTTATTAAAATTAATACTAAATTAATTAAAACAAACAAGGCTTAAACCAGCGGTTGGATGAAAATCTTTAGATACGTTCGCTTTGGTTAAAGCCAAAAAGGCTAAAATTGAAAAAATTGCGAACTTCATGGTGACGAAGACACTGTAGGTGCGAATTAATTAACGTGGCTTATTTATAATGGATTGAAATCTTATCTGAATACAATTATTTTAAGGGGGCCCTATTTTTGAATAAGATCTACTCAAGATACTTTTATCTTTCATAAAAAAAATAATTATATTCAATTATTGTTTTTAAGATTAGTTATCGTAGAGTGTTAATGAAGTAAGTTTAAAAATTTATAAGAATGAACAAAGTTCGTCAAAGGTCTTTGGTTTTATTTCAAAGATTAAGATATGATTTCTATATCAAATTAAAGACCTTGTATCTAAATTTTCTCCACCAATAGCTGTGGCAATTACTAAACATTAAATATGCCACCCACGTCGTCCTTTAACCCACGGAGAATCCCAAGTGGTAGAGATGAGCAAAAAATTGTGAATTGCGATTTAATCATAATGACTATGAATGCGTAATAAACTACGACTTTATATGCTACTGCGACTATACCTGCGACTCATTAAAAGACAAAGAGATAGTTAATATTGTTAGATGAGTAAAACATATAGAAGAGCACTTTAAAAGAAACCACATATTATTAATAGCAACCTTTCTTGACCCAAGTTTTAAAGAAATAACTTTTAAAGGCTAGAGAAATGCAGAAATCGCTAAACAAAGTGTTTTTTCTTTGGTAGATGAAAAGATTTCGGGCAAATTAGCAAGCCGAGCTGCTAGAAACGGAAATTGTATTTAACCCAAATGAAGCCAGAAATCAAAATATGGAAGATGACGATTTTTGGGAGGATTTTGAAAAGGCAGCTCAAAAAGGTCATAATCATAGGAATCGCAATCACAGGTTACAGTCACTGAGACTCCAAAATCACAGTTTCCTTTACGATTTCAAAATTGCATTTTGCTCATCTCTACCAAGTGGGTTTCCTTCATTTTTATACCGCAAAAGCATTCGCTTGCTAACAGTGTACGCATTTAACTATTCCGCTTCAAGTATTTATTCTTGCAAATCGTGTTGTTCCATACATTTTGGACATCGTTTTTGTAACTCGAAACCACCTCCGATTTGAGATGTAAAAGCGAATTCTGATATAACCTCAAATGAGTTGTTTTGATGGAGGTTGTCAATTTCATAGTACCAATTTAAAACAAATAAAGTTACTAAATCTTTGAAACGTCTAAGTTTTGAAATTATGTTGCAACCCAATTAACATAAAAATTAATAATTAATTAAAATTAAATTAAAAATATAATGTAATTAATTTAAATCAAAATTATTTTAAAAAAAATTAATTTATTTAATCGTTTCCAATACCAACCTCATTGCAAAAAACTCCCTGTTAAATTAGTTGTTGGAAAAGGTTATGCATTAATCTTAATATTTATTTATTTATTGTGCTTATAATGTGTCCAATTTCTTTTATAACTACACATTATTATTATTATTGGAAAGTTTATTACAAAAAGTTCGTAAGTACTGTAATAAAGTTACTGAGACACGTTTAAACTGAGAGAGAAACATAACCTCAATTCAGTTGACAGTTAATTTTTAGTTGCTCATAAATCTTTTAAAACTGTTAATAATCTTTCTAAACCATCCAAAACGGCAAGATCTGTGTCAGCTACATCTAATTTATTAGATTCCCGAAGATTTTGAATGATTTTAACTTAGAAAATTAGATTTAAAATGTGTAAAATTCAAACTTCTTTTTTAGTTAGATAATCTTGAAACCTCCAATGGACGGCTGAAATAGAAAAAGATACGCATCAAATACGAAGTTTCATCCAGATTAGTAAAGAATTAAAGAAGATATGAATGAAATAAGTTTTGGAATTTTGAGTGGTTCGAAAGAAATCCGCTAGATGGCGTTTGCAGAATTTAGGAAGATTTGAAATTATTTTAAGGGAAGAAATGGCGCGAAACCCATCAGCCAATCAGGAGCGGGGGTTAAAAATAGAATGAAGAAAAATTTCTGGGGAAGGGGAAAAGGGTATATAAGAAGAAGAAAAAATTGAACCAAGACCAGTTCAATTTAGTAAGGGTGACAGCATGGTTGAATTTTGATAAAAAAAAATCTAACCTAAAAAAGTAGTTAACGTTAAATTGCTTCTCCGATAATCCAATCGAAATTTAACGTCGAATCAAGATTTTATATAACCTAAAAGAAGTAAAATTAAATTTAAATATCGAAAATAAACTAAGGAGAAATTACCTGTTTCCGAAAAATTTTTGAGAGCCGATTGAAGAATAATTAATCCAGATTCCTGTCCATTTTCCATTCCTAAAAGGGACCTTCGATCGAATTGAGTTACAACATAACCTAAACGTTATCAGATAAGTGGGAATTTTGCTGTTAATTTTCATATCAATAATTCAAAATAACTTACGAGTCAATTGAAGAATCAAAATTACGCGATAACACTGTTACTTTCAGTTTAATTGAGAATCTATCGATTATTTTCGACCGACTTAAATCTAACGTAAACAATAGTTTTTTTATGGTTTTTTTTTGTTCAGGTTTGACATCTGTCTTTATTGGCGTTACGCTCTCTATTAGAGCTCTTAGATAACTAATTGAAAAATAGAAATCTGTAATTTAAACATTCCTTTTTAAGCCTGAACTCGCTAATTTGGCATTATAACGAGGGCATTTTTCAATACAGTACATATCTCTATGACGTTTTATTCATTATTTTCCCTCACATAAAATACGATAATTATTTGTGTAATAAAGTTATAACGTTGTATCTCCAACCCGAGGCAATACCACAGAATAACCAGAAGTGACAGTGGCAGTATCCTTCATCCTTCCTTGTCCCTGGGCAGTATCCCGCCAAATCTGATGTCATATTATAGCGAGTTACCAAGGTATGTTGCTATTGGTGGTAAAGATTTGGCGGGATAGCACTAGTGTCACTTCTGGTTATTCTGTGCCAAGGTCCTGTGAGTATTGGTTATATGGAACTTATTATATTATGGAACTAGAAACATTCAGATTTAGCCGTATGTCTCTTAAAACGGCTAAACCCAAATTATTCTAGTTATACTATATAATCTAATATACGTACTTTACTAATACGTATATTCCGTATATTTAACCTTTCAACTACTACAATCTAGCGCGTGGATAAGGTCAGGGTGGAGGCGGGCAGGAGGGCAGTGAAATATGAAGAAAGAATAGAAGGGAGGCCAAGCTGCGGGATCCTGGGGGAGTGTTGGAGGGAAATTAGAGAGGGAAAGGTCAGATATGGGAAAGGACAGAGAGACAACTATTATAGACGAGCGGGCTACTCGGTAACGGAGATAAATAGTAGACGAAGGGTGGGTAGGGAGATGTGGAGGGAGTTGAGAGACAGGGACCGAGATGTGCAGAGACAGGAAAGAAGGACACAAATAAAAGAGGGAAGGTATAACGAAAGATACAGGGACATAATTACGGAGGGGCTGCCTAGATACTTGTTATTGGAAAGAGATGAGGAAGGGAAAAAGTTGGTGGTTAGGTTCCGTTGTGGAAACGAGGAGAGAGCCAACAAATACTGGATGGCCGATGAGGAGAGGTGGTGTAGGCTGTGCAGGAAGGAATGGGAAACGTTAGAACACATGCTGAATGGGTGCAGTGAGTTGAGGGAGGAGGAGATGGACCGAAGGCAGATCTTAGGAGACGGGGGAGAGGGGAAACGATGGATGAGAATGGTGATGGGGGTGAGGAGACAAATCGATGGGTGAGGGGATGATTGGGCCGAGGAGCCGAGGGCGTGGAAATGGAGGAAGAGGTTAGAGAGTGAATGTAATATTTGAATAATGTAAAGAATTGTAAACAATTACTGTATACAATAAACTCTTAATAATACTACGATCTAGCGCTTAATAACAATTAAAATTAGAACTAACACTAGACCTAGAACTAGAATCATTTGGGTTTAGCCGCACGTTTTTAAAGACGGCTAAACCCGAATGTTTCTAGTTCTCGATCTAGTGTTAGTTCTAGTTTTACACTATCACTAGTACTAAGACAAGACCTAGAACTAGAATCATTCGGGTTTAGCCGTCTTGAGAGACGTGCGGCTAAACCCAAATGTTTCTAGTTCTTGGTCTAGTGTTAATTGTAGTTNAGGAGAGGTGGTGTAGGCTGTGCAGGGAGGAATGGGAAACGTTAGAACACATGCTGAATGGGTGCAGTGAGTTGAGGGAGGAGGAGATGGACCGAAGGCAGATCTTAGGAGACGGGGGAGAGGGGAAACGATGGATGAGAATGGTGATGGGGGTGAGGAGACAAATCGATGGGTGAGGGGATGATTGGGCCGAGGAGCCGAGGGCGTGGAAATGGAGGAAGAGGTTAGAGAGTGAATGTAATATTTGAATAATGTAAAGAATTGTAAACAATTACTGTATACAATAAACTCTTAATAATACTACGATCTAGCGCTTAATAACAATTAAAATTAGAACTAACACTAGACCTAGAACTAGAATCATTTGGGTTTAGCCGCACGTTTTTAAAGACGGCTAAACCCGAATGTTTCTAGTTCTCGATCTAGTGTTAGTTCTAGTTTTACACTATCACTAGTACTAAGACAAGACCTAGAACTAGAATCATTCGGGTTTAGCCGTCTTGAGAGACGTGCGGCTAAACCCAAATGTTTCTAGTTCTTGGTCTAGTGTTAATTGTAGTTTTACATTAGCACTATTGTTAGAACTAACACTATACCTAGAACTAGAATCATTTGGGTTTAGCCGTCTTGAGAGACGTGCGGCTAAACCCAAATGTTTCTGGTTCTAGGTTTAATGTTAGTTCTAGTGACAGTGCAAGCGTGAAACTAGAACTAACACTATACTTAAAACTAGAATCATTCAGGTTTAGCCGTTTTTGGAGACGTGCGGTTAAACCCGAATATTTCTAGTTGTTTCGAATTTTCCTAGTGTAATTTTTGTTTAAAATTGACCAATAGCAATTCTTCTCTTTGGCGCTTCAATTTGAAAACACCCCTCCGAATTAAAAAATAGAATATAGCTTATTATATAGCTTGTTACGTTGTTTACAAAGATGTAAATTGTGATCGTGACATCTTTACAACCGAAATAAAGGAGTCAAAAAATTAAATATTGTTGAATTTGATGATCGTTATAATGCTAAATATTTTGTTATTGTTTATTATTTATTTTTAGTTATTTTAATGAAGAAACTAAGGTTGCCATTGAATTAGGAAAACAGAATGTGGGAATTTAACCTCTATAGAGTTGTAGTTAGCTTTATCTCGATTAGAAAAGTACGGAAAATTTTAAACAAAGCAAAATTATAAATATAAAATTTACATAATTTCTTTTATTATGTTAAATATTTGAACTATATATAATTCAAATTAAGCGTTTATATCCTTCCCTTCTAAAAATTCCAATAACGGCTCGTAAACGAGTTCCTTTGCATCTTTTCCAAAAAGAAAACTGATATGAGTGAAGTCCGTGCCGGGAATTTCGTATTTTAACTTTAAACTGTTTTTTAAATCATCCGCTAAATGTTCAATGTCTGTTGTGGATATCAACCAATCGTTAAGTCCATAAAATATCGCATTGGGTATATCAATATTTCCCAAGTTTTTGTAATTTTTGGCAAATCCATCTTAAATTATACAAATTAATTAATTAATTAATTTCTTATTTATCTATTTACCGTTAAGATACATGTCCACATAACTTTTTAATTGTTGAAAAGAGCTTCCTGCGTATGCATTAGATAGCATTACAGGTACTTTACTCTATAAAAAAAACTAAGGAGTTAAATATATTTTTTAAGAATAATACTTACTCTTGGAATTTGTCCATTATCAAAACCGTAGATTAAGTTAACAAACCCAGCACATAATTCGACCAACAATGCTTCATCATCGCATAATTTAGCAAAGATATAATTTTCGGTTTTTGAAAACATGTCATTAAGTTTACTTTTAAACAGCAGGTCAAGTAGTCCGAAGATAGACTAAACATTAATTTTTATAAATACAAACATGAATCAACTTAATAATCACTAACCTTAAGATCCAAACCATCACCCAATATAGTAGGTACAGTATTTAAGATTCTAAAGAATAAATTTGGCATATTGTCCATATGAGCCATTGGTGCTAAACCTACCATACGTTTAATTGGAGGTTTATAATCGGGCAATTCAGATGCCATAATGTAAAATAATGTACTTCCTTGACCATGACCAACATAAAAAATTTCTTCTGCCCCTGTGGTTGTTGTAATATATTCGATTATTTCTGGTAAATCAACTTTTGCAACATCATTTAAACTATTTAAGCAAAAAAGGATATTATTAGTTCAATAATTTATAAAAACGATAAGATAATACATACTTAAATCGCCAATATTCGTTATCATTTGCTGGATTTAGCGATTCATGATTTCTTGAATACGTATTACCTCTAGCATTTCCAAGCCATACATCATAATTTTCATCGGCCAATAAAAACGCTAAACTTTGATTCCCATTACTTACAAAATCAGCGGAACTGGTTAAAAATTGATGCATAATCAAGATAACTTTTTTATTATCATTATTAGGTATTCTGTGAAGTTCCAATATGTTCCCATCGACTGTTACTGTGTGTTTTTCTAAAGTATAACCATATTTCTCAATTAACTCATCCTAAAATTCATTAAAAATTTAAATTATTTAAATAAATTATTAATTTCTTCTTTACTTACAACATCTTTGTATGCATCATCATCCGATACGGCACTAACCGCGATTATTAAAGTTAATATAAAAAATGTAAATGTTTTAAACATCTTTTATTGATTCTTTGAGTAAAGTGAGCCTTGTTTAAAATAATATTTGTAATTCGTCAAAATGAATTGGGATATTTCAAGTGCAGTGATATGATAAAGGTTTATCTTTAAGTATTGTCATGCATCTTTCAATTATTTTTGATAAAGTTAGAATTGAAACAGAAAAATTATAAGTAGGTATTATTTCAATTCTTCTGTCTCTTATCAATATTTGAAACGATTTTATTTTTTACAACTATTAAAGATTTCGATTAACTTTCGAAATTATATTTTGATAAACATTATTATAACTTGCCACAATTTGATAATCAAGACCCCTAAAAACTTGAGTACGATAAAGTGGAATTTCAAGCAGACCACAACGACGCAAATATAATTGATCTATGTTGGTTCTGAATGAAACCTTATCGCAACCAATAAGGTAAATTATCAATTTTCAAGTAGGGCTTGATATAACGGACTCCCTAAGCAAATTTTTATCCGATTGCAACACCATTCCTTTGAAGTATATTAAAATCGATTATTTTATTAAGCCGAGGTCGTTTGCGACCGAGGCGCTACAATTTCAATCATATTGGACAACATATAATGTAATGCCTCGGCCGCAAGTGACCTCGGCGTAGTAATTGTACAACATATAATTTACAAGCGATACAAATTAGTATACAAGCAAGCAAATCAACAACAAAAAGCTATAATTCTTTCCAACTTTATACAAAATAGCGACAATCGTTCCAAGGCCATTTGGACAGTAATTAAAAACGAATATTACTAAAAGAAATTAGACACCAGTAGTAGACTATGATGGTCCAACTCCGGATGACTTTAATAATTATTTTTTTGAGGTTGGCAACTCTGAACCTGGACCTGTACTCTGTCCGGAAATCTTCGTGAAGAGAAGCAGGTCGGTCGCAAGTTCTATTTTCCTCACACCAGTAGATTTAGACGAGACCGTTAACAGATGCTATCAATCAATGCATGATAGCTAGATGGAATTTACCTAGAAGAATTTAAAATTTCAAAGGTAGCCACTTTTCAAGAGTGGTGACAAAGCGAATTGCGCTAATTACAGGCCCATCGCAATACTAGCAACACTATCCAAGGTCTTTGAATGAGTAATAAAGAGGCGATTGATTGGTTTTTCTTGAAAGTCACAACACATTTAGCACCAAACAACACGATTACCGAAAGCTAAGATCCACATCAACTGTTACGGGTGCTTTGAAACTGATAGCAAATGCTTTCAACAAAAAGGAAGAAGCACTCTGCTCGCTAAGCTAGAGTACTACGGTATAAAGGGTACTTCATTTTCACTCTTCAGAACATATCTCCAGGATAAAACACAAATGGTTTACTGGAAAGGAAGATTCTCGGCAAAAACACAGATAGGACAAGGAGTGCCACAGGGATCTGTTCTTGGCCCGGTTTTGTTCCTGATCTATATCAATGACTTACCACAAAACTTAACGGCTGATTTGACGTGCCTTTTCGATAGTTAGCTGTTGGTGACATCTAGAGACAGACAGGAACTCCGAAGAAGATCCGAAGAAGTCGAACTGAATGGAAAAAAGACGCAATCACTCATACTTACCAATAGAGAGCTAGATACGGAACATACGATTAAATTCCATGGTCTTAACATAGATTCCCACCTGAAATAGAATTCACATATAGAATACGTTACAAAAAAGTTAGCCACAGCAACCTACCTCATCAAAAGAATAAGGATTATCTCAACCTATGAAGCTGCTAGAACCGCCTACTTCAGCCACTTTAATTTCATACTTCAATATGGCATTGAGGTGTGGAGATCATCGCCTTAAACTTCCAAGCTCTTAATCCAGCAAAAAGAAGGCGTGTGCAGGACCGCGAGATAGCTGCAGAAGTATATTTAAAGCAAATAGCAGAAGCAAATATTAACTGTCCCTAGCGTCTACATACTGGCGGCAGTTACCCTTCTGGATAAGAACGAAATGAGATATTCATCACATAGTGACATCCACCAAGATGACACTAGGTAGAAGAACAAGATCGCCATTCCACAACACCGCATCAAAAGAGCACAACAAAGCACTAATTATATGTGCATAAAATTATATAATAAATTGCCACCAGCTTATTCTGAGTTGCCGTTGCCCATCTTCAGAGGGAAAGGAAGCGATTGTTACTACAATACTCCTACTCAATAGAGGAATACTTACATTGCATTTTTTATTGAGTATTATTATTATTTGCTTGTACTGTTGCCTATTACTTGACTATTATTGTACGCACATTTCTTTGCGACAAATAAACATTATTATTATTATAAGCTAATGCCTCGGCCGCAAGCGACCTCGGCTTAGTACGGAATATACTGTTATTTTATTATTCCGAGCCGGTACAATTGCTAGCATATTGAAAAACATATAATGTAATGCCTCGGCCGCAAGCGACCTCGGCTTAGTAAGGAATATACTGTTATTTTATTATGCCGAGCCGCTACAATTGCTAGCACATTGAAAAACATATAATGTAATGCCTCGGCCGCAAGCGACCTCGGCTTAGTAAGGAATATACTGTTATTTTATTAAGCCGAGCCGCTACAATTGCTAGCACATTGAAAAACATATAATGTAATGCCTCGGCCGCAAGCGACCTCGGCTTAGTAAGGAATATACTGTTATTTTATTAAGCCGAGCCGCTACAATTGCTAGCACATTGAAAAACATATAATGTAATGCCTCGGCCGCAAGCGACCTCGGCTTAGTAAGGAATATACTGTTATTTTATTAAGCCGAGCCGCTACAATTGCTAGCACATTGAAAAACATATAATGTAATGCCTCGGCCGCAAGCGACCTCGGCTTAGTAAGGAATATACTGTTATTTTATTATTCCGAGCCGGTACAATTGCTAGCATATTGAAAAACATATAATGTAATGCCTCGGCCGCAAGCGACCTCGGCTTAGTAAGGAATATACTGTTATTTTATTAAGCCGAGCCGCTACAATTGCTAGCACATTGAAAAACATATAATGTAATGCCTCGGCCGCAAGCGACCTCGGCTTAGTAAGGAATATACTGTTATTTTATTAACCAGAAGTCGCTTGTAACCGAGGCGCTATAATTGCTAACACATTAGACAATATACAATGTAATGCCTCGGCTTAGTACAAAATATACTGCTATTTTATTAAGCCAAGGTCGTTTATGACCGAGGTGCTACAGTTACTAGCACATTGTAATAACATCTTTGATGAATCCCATTAACGTTTATTAATAATGCATCAATTTGATTTTCAAAATTAGGTTAGAAAATTATAATATATAGATAATTTCTATAATTTTCAAATTATAAACTTGAAACTTATAATTTCAAAGAATTGATCAATTTAGTAATTAAACTTGTGAACAAAATTTTCTCGTGTGAATAATATAAAATATTTAAATGTTATGTACCTATAAATGTTCGTTTTTCTTTTCATGATTGATTATAAGATCGTGAACGAGCGTATACAAAATGCCCAAAAGAGCAGATTTATTAGAAATAGGTTTAACTCTTCTCGAATGTGTTTTTGAATATTTCCAAAAACCAACTTTAATAACTAAAATACATAGAGTTTTGGTGTTTGCTGGAGTTGCAATAATTGGTACACTCACAATTCTAAACCTTTTACGAACAAGAAATGAACTTTTTGTAAGATCGATGGAATCTTTTATTACGGAGTATCACGTTAGTATTAAAAGAAATTAGCTAAACTTAATTTAATTCAATCCCCCTCTTATTAGTTATTTACAAAGTACTATCTCTACGTCTTAAATAAAAATGTCCTCCAAGGATTTGTAAACAATTTGGAACAACGTTGGTCTATAGACATCGCAGAACCGGAACTAAGACGTCAAATAGATCATATTTATAAAGTTATGTGGACTTTTTTAATCGTTTTGACCGGTGTTGCAGTTTTAACCGTATTTACATTCTTTTTACAACCAATATATCAAGAAAGTCCATTGATAATGGAATTTTGGTTACCAACTGATAACCCTTTTATTACCGCGATGCTTTGGTTGTTACAAAGCCATAGTTTATACGCTGCTTTGATGATTATAATTGGGACAGATTCTTTATTTGTTGCAATGTGCGTCCACATGTACGTGCAATTATTATTGCTTCAACAAGAATATGGTAAATTGGTGTTACCCGTTAATTGTACTCCAGAAGACGAAATTGAATGCCGAAAAAAGCTTAGAATTTGTATTATACATCACCAATTTTTATTAAGGTTTATTCAATACATTTAAATTTTAAGGATTTTATTAAAATTTTTTAGATTATTTGGGGGAATGAGAAAAGTTTATTCACCGCTTTATTTAGCTCAATTCTTCTCAACTTTAATTTCAACTTGTATGGATTTTTTTATTATTTCAACAAAGTAACTCACCATATTTAATAAAAAGATGTATTAAAAATAAAAATTTTAGCGCGGAATCTCTTGATATCGCTGAAGTGATCAACAAATTCTTTTACGTTGCAACAATTCAAATACAATTTGCACTTTATTGTTTTCCCGCCGAATACTTAACAGAACAAGTATAATTTTTATATTATTTATTTATAAAAAATTAAATTAAATTCTTTGTTGTAGTTAAAAAATCTATCAGATGCGGTTTACGCTTCAAAATGGTATGAAAGCAAACCGTCATTTCGAAGGGAATTAACTATGATTATGGCAGCTTCTTTAAAACAATCGGCTTTTACAGCTGGTGGATTTTCTGATGTCCGAATGAGTACATTTACAAATGTAAAATTTTAAAAGATTTTTTTTATATGAAATAATTATTCATTTTCAATTTTAGGTACTTAAATTATCATTTTCGTTTTTCACTTTTTCAAGAAATATGGTTAATAAATAATCTACAACATAGTTGCACCACAGAATAATCAGAAATGACATTGACGTCGATTCGATTGATTTTTTGGCGGCACTTAGTTTTAAAATCCGCCATCTTATCGCGAGTTAACAAAAGCACAGATTCAAGGTCCGTTGAGTAAACATACTGTATAAGGTTATAATAATAATACTTTATTGTGTTACTAAGCTGCTGCTCTTACACTCGTCCAAATAAATACATTTTCTTATTTAATAAATACACTAGCATAAACAAAAACCAAGA